TGAAAATGACCAAGTTACCAGTGTTTCAGTTACCAAGTCGGAAAAAAGCAAAATCGGAGGCCTGAAGCAAGATGGCTACATCTACGAAAGTTATTTTAGCACGTGCCTTAAATTCGGACAAGGCAAGTGCTAAAATAACTTTTGTAGATGTAGCCATCTTGTGTCCACCTCCGATTTAGCTTTTTTCCGACTTGGTAACTGAAACGCTGGTAACTCGTGTGTGATGTCGTTTTAGCTCCAACCTCTGACTTCTGAGATTATTCGAACGCAGCATAAGTCCCCTTTGATAAGTAGCGATAGATTGCTTCCTAAAATTCGTCCATGTTTTCTCCAAAGAACTACAACCCCATGAAACCTTCCGTAATGTCTGGACCAACCACAATCTTCTACGTCATCCGAACCAACTTCCAGCCAATCATACAGCGTGACGTCATCAGTAGACGCCAGGCCCGAGCCGATCTGGCAGCCCCAAACACATGTAGTATCTACAACAGTCACAAGATTGGCGAATCAAGGAGGCTGAAGGCTCGCCTCTGCTAGTTTGACTAAGTCAGTATAATCAAGATGGCGACCACTACCGAGCAACTTCACAAACAAACAGGTGATTTCATGAATGCCATGTCCATTTATTAAACTATCTATGGTCCACAAACATGTTACTGTAATTAGACGTCATCAGTGATGCAGAAATCTCAAAAACTAACATCCAAACAAAAACTTTCCGCCGTGTTTGATGTAACCCTGAAGTGCCCCCTGAACACATGCTGGAGTCTGTTGTTGGACATTAAATGGGTAAAATCTTCTGAACACGGTGACATATTGAGGTCAGAACTTTCTCCTGACACTTGTACAGAGTACAGAGTGTGTCTGCGCTCACTCTCACACAGTTACTCTGTAATGACTGAAGGTGATGGCGTGTCTGTTCCTATACAGCAGCTCATACATCAGCCTGTGACCACACAGCCTCCAGTGGTGCGACAGGGCACAGCTGAGAGCCCGCTGCCAACGATAACAAGGGCCCCTTCAGTGCCACGCTCCCTCCTGCAGCGTCGCACCTGTCGCCATGTGTGTGCATCTGTGCGTGTGTGTGGAAAGCATGTAACTGCAAAGACATGTGGTGCTCATACACATTCCTTCCGCCTCGCTCATGAATCACTCTGCCCCCTCCTCTGCAGCCACCGGCCCGGGGTCCTCCGAGAGGGAGGAGGAGGGATAGGAGGGCGAATGAGGAGACGTGTGGGAGGTTCAAGTATGTGCAGTGTAACAGCCATGCTTCATGTATGTAAAGTATGTCTACTATCTGCTTATCTAGGTGTCGGCTTTACTGCTTTAATACAAGGTACACATGTGATTTTACAGAGTGTATTAAAGGATTTATCTGCGAGGGATAAAGAGAGGACAAGCTTTGTAAAAACACACATACATACCTAGAGTATGTTTGAGGCTTTAACTCGGTGTTTCCTGCGGACAGATAAACTCCAGCTGCCTGTTACGCTGCCTGAGAGAGTTATGAAAGCAGATAGCAGGTTATAATCTGCCAACAGTTTTTACATTTCATAAACCCTTACAAATCTACTTTCCTGAGGGAAACACTCGGACGCAAAGTTCTCACCGCTTTTTTTTTGCATTGAATGTAAATAATTTCAATCAGCTGACTTAAGACATCTGCAGACAAATTTAAGGATTCCTTATGTTTTAATCTGAGAACCCCTGACGGACTGTGGGAGCTGAGAATTTATATTTTTAAAAGTAGCAGCAGAAATAGATCTAAAAAATATCAAGCAAGACAAAAAGAATTATTAGGTGTTTCATTTGTGCAAATGTCCTAAAGATTCAGCCAAACCTGATTTGAAAACTTGGAGATCTTGACTTGAACTGAGCATTAGCAGCAGTGTTAGACCAAGTATTTGTTTATCAGAACAGGTAAAGTAGGGTGTTTGGATCCCCTTTTTTTTTTCACCGGCAGAAATGGGCTTCCATAGTTTTTGCTTTGTGTAGTGTGTACTTAATCTGCGCATCACAGACCATTGTATTTACCATACATGATCATTTCCAAACACACTTTCAGAGGAGGAGTTCCATGTCAAACCCCGGAACATGTATTAATTTCCCTTAAAAACAGTGCAGAGCATCAGTGCGCTCTGCTGCTCTGCTCCTCCGCTTAGTTCTAAGCGAAGCCGCTGACACGACGCACGCATGCACCATCTGCTGGAGGAGAAATACTTTAGATAAATGAATAGATGTTGTTTACAAACTGGGAAAATTTTCAGTATCTCCAAGAGGCCTAGTTAAGTGTCTTTTTGGGAATTCAGAAAATACATTTAAATGAGTTAGAAGCACCTAAAAAACGCTCAACCCAACCCAAAAAACCCTCAAAATTTTGAACGTCTGCACAACTCCACCCCACGTAGAAGTGTCCTCTTTTTGGGGCCACAGAATATGGTCACCTTAGGTGAAGCCTGGTCTGTTTATATGAACTACATTTATATAAAAACAAACATGTGAGGGACAGCAGATTCAGAATGAGAGAATAACAAGTGTGTGTAGCTCAGGATTGATGTACACAACATGTGAATGATGGTGCGGTATCACCCATCGGTTTCTTAAGAGGCATTTTGAAGCCCAACAACAGATACTTCCCCCTTTGGTTGCAGCCCCGCCCCCTTTTTGGAAACGCAAAGATTTTTAGTAAAATGATAGCATAAAATAAGAAAGGCATTAAGACAGAGGAGACTGCAGTAAGAGGCTTTAGGGTTCAGGGTTTAGGGTAAAGGTTGCGTCTCCTTCATGGCAGTGTCACTATAAAGGATAACTCACATGATGTTTTGGTTTCTTCATGGAAATGTTCATTATCTTTGTAAAACAACGACAGCTCTATCCTCTAAACTCATCCTCATGTTCTCCAGCAACACTCGCTGTCTCCTGTCCTCTCACACTCTCCCACCGGGGGCCCGGCATACCCCCTCCCCAGTGCATAATGTCAAATTCCACATGGCTGAGCTACCTGGCTGAGGTATTACTGGACTACATGCCTGACAGGACTGCCATAGCGAGGGGCCGTGAGGAGACAAAAAGCAACTGTGAAGAAGCTTATTAGCAGGGTGCTGGAGACAGACAGGAGGACAGGAAGCATCCTGACAGAGGAGACGGCAAATATCACAGCGAGAGTAACGACAGCTGAGCAAAACAGATGAAAATACCAACTTTAGAGACATGATCTGAAATGAGAAAGTGTGATCTGAAGACATGAAAAGAGACTCAAAAGTAGGATATGTTTTCAGGAAGCTGTGGAGGCCAACAAAGACCAACATGAGCTGGATTTGAGCCTCTATATACCGTGAAGGATCAGGACCATGAGCTGTAAGTAACATTAGAGCATAAGTGAAAGTAACATCAGCTAATGTATGTTTATGTGGCTAAATGAACCGGCACCATAGACTGGATGAAGTCACAGCGAGAACAGCACCCTCTGGTGATGGGCTGCAGTATAGGTCATAAATCCCGCCTCCTCCAGCAATCCCTATGAAGCTGTGGACAAACTTTTTCTCCCCCCTAGTTGTGATGTTGACATGTAGTTACTGTCAGACTGATTTATCCTCAAGTCCTCTTTTTTCTGTACAGCTCCATTTTTAAAAGTTATTAGGGGGTTCATGTTTTCTATGATTGACACTTGATACAGCCTATGGGCGTACTAAGATTACGTAGCTCATCGAGGGGGGTACAGTTTTGAGCAGAGCGTCATCAGAACGACTGGCAAATGCGTACAACGCTACTGCGCAAGTGGTGGTTCCAGGAAGTGGAGAAAATATGGCGAGCAGTTCGGCTTCAAATTCATATAATGACGGAAGGCGGAGCCAAGTTGTACATATATATACATATATAGGATAGTACTGTATATACAGTCTATGACTGACACCTTGAACTCGTTTATAAATCATGATGTTTTAAGTGCACTGTTAACATAATGAGGAAAATGGTTGCCATGAAAGTGTATCCTTCGGACAAAAATGATTCCAGTGACAGTGTAGTTCACCAAGTGATTCGTTCGCTAAGTGATTCAGGCGTCAGCGCGTACGGTCCCTTCCCCCCCTTGCAGTGGCTTGCCGGCTGCTCGCCCGGCCATGCTTTGCTGCTGACACCTCAACTGAACTGAGAAACGAAGTGAAGTGATTCGGTTCAGTAGGTTCACTTAAAAGATCTGTTCAAAAGAACGAATCGTTTGTGAACAACTGAACATTAAGTTTTTTGAGTAGTAAATCCTGCACGTCTACTCTACAGGTGTCCCAGACTGACACTTATGATCATGGAAATTTCATGGAGGTAATCGTGTAGTTTAATGGCGGAGTTTGACTTATTTAAAGGACTTTGTGAGCAGTCAGTGGAGGGAGCTGGATTTTAGTCAGTGCTGTAACATGCAGCAGTAAGTCAAGAATTGGTAAGATGAGAAAAGTAACCAGAATATGTCTGAGGAATAAAATGCATTTAGACTTTGTCCTTGCACAGACTGGACTGGACTGTAACTTCACATTAATGATGGATGTTTCTGTTGCGGTCTGAATTATTTTATCAGTAGAATTAGGAGAATAAAGTTTCACATAGTTTTCAAACTCACAAATGTCTTAATAAGCAGTTTTTAAAAATTGAGCTGACCTCAAACTTTCAATATTTCACGAGGAAAGTATTTCCATAGAGCTGTATTTATGTCCTTTCTGAATGTTTTCACTGGAAAGACGGTTAATTTTTCTGTGCTTCTTGAGTCCATAAAAACAAGAACCTGAGATGCTGTTGAGGACTAAAGGAAGATCCTCTGGTGCCAAAGGAGCATGAGATCATCTCTGAATCAGCAGAGCCGTGATCCTTAATAACCACAGGTTACAGCCAGACGCTGTTGTGTTTGGAGAAAAATGTGACGACCCCGTGCTCTCGTTTCCGCGGGGCAGCAACTTCTCACAGACAAACTCTTACATTTGTAACCTTCTGTCTGTGTTTCGCCTCAGGCCTCATCTTCGTCGTCCTCCTCCTCCTCCAAGGTCGAGGATAAATGCAGAAGATGGATCAAACTTCTCTTCAGAGGGAGATTCAGAGTGTTTGTCAGGACGTCCGCTGAGGAGGAGAGGAGGAAAGAGAGGAGCAGTGGGAGAGCAGCTCCGGCCAAACACAACAGATGTTCTGCTTTGGAGGTTTGGGGTGTGAAACAGGGAGATACTGATGTGATTTACAGCCAGCACTCCTCTCCTCCTCCTCCTCCTTCTCCTCCTCCTCCTCTTCTTCTTCTTCTGTCCTCCTATCATCTCTTTTCATTTCCTTACATTTCTCACCGGTCATCCTTCTCTTCACTCTTCCTCTTTTTTTCTTCTGTTGTCTTTCCTTTCCTTCAACCCTGTTCCTCCTGTCCTTCCTTTTTTGCTTCCTTTCTAATTTCCTATTCTTTCTTTTCCTTCCTGTTCTTTCATCCTTGTTCTATCTATTCCTCCATCCTATCTCTTTTCCTCCTCCTGTCATATTTTCTCTCTTCCTGTTTCCCTTCTTCTTAACTATTTTGCTCCTCTCCTCCTACCCTTTACTTTTTCTTTCTTTCTTTCTTTCTTTCTTTCTTTCTTTCTTTCTTTCTTTCTTTCTTTCTTTCTTTCTTTCTTTCTTTCTTTCTTTCTTTCTTAATTTCTTTCTCCTGTATCTTCTTTCCTCCCTTCCTTCTCGGCCCTCTTTCCTTACTTCCTTCTTCCCTCCTTTCTTCCCTTTCCCTTTACTTCTTTTCTTCCTTCTCCTTCTTTCCTTTTATTCCCTTTCTTCCCTCATTTCATCTCCTTCCTCATTTCCTCCTTTCCTTCCTTTTCTTTTTTCCCCTGTTTGCTCCATTTCCTCTTCTCCATTTCTTTCCCTTTTTTCCTTTGTTTTCTCCCTACTTTCGTTTCCTAATTCCTTTCCTCTTTCATCCTTTTTTCCCTTTATACCTCTTTTCCTGTCTTCTTTTCCCACTTTCTTCTCTCTTCTTCTTTGTCTTTGTCCCTGTCCTTCGTCTTACTTCCTTTTACTTTTTCATTTCCTTTCTCTCTATTTCTCTTTTTCTTTATTTTCTCCTTTCTTTCCTTTCCTAATTCCTCCCTTTTCCCTCTTTCATCCTTTCCTTCTCTCTCCTTTCCTTTCCTGTCCTCTTTTCCCAACGTTTCTTCTCTCCTTCCTCTGCTTTGTCCCTGTCCTTAGTCTTACTTCCTTTTACTTTTTCCTTTATCTCCATTTCTTTTTTCCTTTCCTCTGATCTTCCATGTCTGGTTTCATATCTGATCAGGCTTCATGTATATATATATGTATATTTTAATCTTATTTACAGTTTTTGGACGATCGTCTCCTGTTTCTGTTATAAATGCATGTTTTTATATCTCGGGTTTGTCACTCATACACAGATATCTTGTTTATTTGGCTCTGAGACGAGCCGTTCGGTCCAGTTTTGGCTGAATTTAGGGCTTAAAGTTTTTGCAGTTTCAGTCTTCTCGGGGGATGATTTGTGTCGAGACAGACAGGAGTGCTCGCTCCAATCCGCCTGCAGCTAACAAATGGAAATCATCATGTGAGATTGGAGGGTTTGGCTGACTGTCTGTGGGATGGACACTCTGGACCAACAGCAGCTCTCAGATTGAAACGAAGATAAAAAAAAAAATTCCCTGCTGAGATAATAAAGCTCTCTATACTCTCCAGATCAGTGTGTCGAAGTGTCTTTATTGAGTTTGGCAGTGATTTATCTGTATTTACCTTAAACACAGAAACTCTCACTGAAGATTCCCATCGTCGAGAAGACAGTGAAGCCCACATGCAGGAGTCTGATAACGTCTCTGACCGGATAATTACTTTAAACCTGTTGTTTTCTGACCCAGACTTTCTCTCCTCCTCCTCCTCCTTTACTGGTCTGATCTTTGTGTCTCCTCTCCTCGCCTCACCCTTCCTCCCCCCTCCTCCTCTTCTTCACTTTGATGTTCCTCGTCAGCATCACTCCTCTCTGTCCGACACTAACCTCCCCCCTTCTTAGCTCCTCGACTCCTGACAACCTGTTAGTCCAGATTACAGGGCGGCGGAGAGACGCAGACACACTAAACAATCATTTTTTTTAATTTGTCGTCTACACATGAAAAGTCAGTCTCGTTTTTTCTCTTCTCCTTAAAGGGGGGGTTTATAATTAAGATGAAAAGAGGAAAAACAGATATATAACTTCTCGACTGCTCATGTTTTCTAAAGAGGAGAGATGAGAAGAAGCATTCACGACGATAGGAGGATATTAGATCTGACACACGATGGATAAACATTTGACAGCCAATCAAATTTGAAAGAAAAATATAAGAAATGAATGTGTGCTTTGCAGAAATAAACTTTAATCTTAAAGGGATAGTTCCATGTTTATGGAGTAGAGTTGTTGAGGTCTAATCAGTCAGTGATTATTGACGATACCCAGACGATGTGTTGGGAGACCAGGAGAAAACCAGTTCAGAGGGTTTTAAACCAGTCCAGATGGTTCAGTTTTACCAGGTCAGAGGAACGTACAACCCCGCCCCTCATTACATATTGATAAAACAGATTTTGATGGTTGATCAATTATTTAAACTCTGTTTATAACTGAAATTAGTGCAAAGACGTCTGATGATAAAACTGAATATTAGATTCTCATATGTATATAAAACATGTATGCTTGTTTTAAAATTGATGCCAATAACAGATTTTAAATAAGGTTGAAAGTAGGATGAGAAAACACTGAAAAGTTGTCTAATGCTGAAAAATATCTTTGAATTATTTGAAACAGTTCAGTAACAAGACATGATGTATGAAAGGGGACTTTAGAGAGAGACTGAGTAACTCAGAAGTAAAGATGGAATGAAGTTCACCTCTCATGAACAACCGTGTAAGTAAACAGTTTCATTATGATGTTCCCCAAATGCAAATTTAAAATCATAAAAAAGCTTAAAAGGACAAGGCTGATAACTGATATTGGACGACCATAATCTCAGTTTTTAATGACACTGCATTAAAAACAGGACCTGACTGCAGTGGAGGTCACCGCATGGGCTCAAAATCACTTCTAAAAACTGTTTTTGTCTGCAAACGTAGTTCTACAAATGCAGGATCAACTTTACCATGCAAAAAGGAAACCATGTCAACATTATGCAGAAACATAAATTACTTTTTTTTGCTCATCTAAAGGCTCATTTATGCGTGACGTTACATACGGATCCGGATACAGACGGAGCTCTTTGTCTGTGCTTCATGTTCTTTTCATCCGTATTTTTTCACGTATCCCTGAAGTTTACGGATACAGCACAGACGGAGCAGTACCACCAGAAACTGTGGGGGGCTTTGTTGCTGCTGTTAGTACCAGATACGCAACTCTAGAGAGAAACAAAAAAGACAGTGGTGGGACTTTTTGAGGAAAGGTTGTGTGAGCAGGTACGAATTCTCCGTCCTCCAACCATGAGGAACTTAGTGTCCTGACCGACCACCACCTCCTCCAACACTGCCCCTGTTTCAAAATATCCATTTTCACTAGCTCCTCCACAGTCGCCATGTTTCTTTTTGTTTGTTGTTGTCAGAAACTTTTGACTCTGCCCTGCCCCCTGGTGGATGTAATGGTTACCATCCATGCCAACGTAAAGGACGCAGTGATTGAACTATTGTTTGAAACGGACACGTACATTTTCATACATATCACAAGCCTTTAAATGAAAAGCCTTTAACCTTGATTTTTGATGCATGTATAATGAACAGGTGCAGCTGAACAACACTCAGCCTAACAGTCCTCATTTACAGAAGAATGTACCCAATGATGTCCAAGTAACCTAAAGGCCCTGAAGTCTTCACCTGGTTTAGTCCTCCCCTCTGAATGCCGTTTTGTTAATGAAATTCCTAAAATGTGGCCCCCTGCATCATCCCCATAAACCCTTGTTCCTTTAATCCTCTTGTAATCATGCAAAGACTCGTAAAAGAACAAGTGAGATTTTCTTTAGCGGCTAGACCGCTGCCATGGAGCCTTATCCCCTTAAAACCGCACAAAAATCTCCTTATCTTAAACCCGCCCCCCTATCCGCCTCGTCTCCAACGTCCACTCTGCTCCAACACCCTAATCTTGACCCCGGCCTCGCTCGGCCTCACTCCCCTAATCCTGACCTCCCTCCCTCCCTCCCTCCTCCCCTCCGGTCCCCCAGGCCGTGTCAGTATAACGAATGCACCCCTCTCCTGAATCCCAGCATGCCGCTGCGCCGTGATGGATGTGCACATCACAGGCGGAGTTTACAAAGCCTCCGTGAATACAGTGCAGCCACCCCAGATGCTGTCAGCTCAGGTCCCTGCGCTCGGACCCTTAACTCTCCACGCAGAGGGGCTCCGCGCTTGCAACAACTCCTAAAAACCTGATAGTGGAGATGGTGGAGAGCCTCATCCATAAATGTCAACTCTTTCCCTCTTACTGTAGCGCCAACAGCAACCGTGGAGAGTTTGAGCCCTCTCAGGCACTTTATGGGGGTCTTAAACGGGAACTCCGTGGTGTGAAATTGAAGATGAATTGTCGTCACTTAAGAATGCAGCAGAAAGAGTGATGGCTTCGTTTGTTTGCACTATAAAATCCCCTTTTTGCCACTTTTCCGTCCATAACAGCGTTTTTTTCCCCCTGCAGCAATGGGCCGTTAAACCGTAAATCAAACCGGGATCCTGGTGCAGTCGCTCAAACACCAAAAGCCCCCCATCAATAACCCCTCACCTCCACACGAACTGGCAGAATATTACATTGACTATCTATTTCATCCCGATCCTATAACTCTGCACAACCCGGAGCTGTGCACCCGGGCAGAAACCTGAGCTCCGGCGTGATATTACAACTCCCTGTGCAGGAATTGTGTTTGTGTAGCTGTGTGTGTACAGAGGAGGAAGTGGTGGATTGGGGGGACAGCGTCAGACCCTAAGCCCCTGAGATCAGCCACCTGTGTGTTATCAAGGGCAGTCTGATAATCCTCCGTGCCCTGTAGCTGCCCTCTGTGCCTCCACACACCGAAAACACTCCGCTCGGCGTAATGTCGCTCCTCCTGCACGGATTCATCAGCGTGGAAACACCCGGCAGATGAAGAAATGTGATTATCTCTGCAGTCAGGAGTTCCCAAGTCTGCATTTGAGATCTATTTTTCTAGCGGGGTGTTATTATCACATGCAATCAAAACATTTCTCGTGTGAATTGGAAGTTCAAAGACCTTCAACCTCCTCCAGGCAGCAGAGAAAATAAACCCCGCTTCACTTCTGATGATGAGGGGGGAATTTCTGCCGCCGCATAATTCAAACTTACAGGGAAGCGGGGAAGCAGGTGAAGACCTCGAGATGCAAATCAAGGATGAGAAACTGAAGCGAAGTCTATAATTTCCTCATCAAGAAGAAAGACAATCTGTCACAAGAGCTGCTTCAATCCAAACCACATCTCAACAGGTAATTAGACATCAGCCCGAGCTACGCCGGGGTCTTTTCAAGCCCGCGAACGCAGGAGCCAACATGTCAGCCGCAAAACAACTCCAACACTCAATTTGGGAGTTTTTCACTTGCTTCCTCCGACCTGTTTTTGCGATTTACTCCTCGTTCCAAAGGGGGGAACTCCATCGCCGAAACGTAGGTAAACCTATCCAACAAGGGAGTCCATTCTTTTGAAGGATCAGTAAATTTCAGGCGTAATTTAATTCCCCACATGCCTCCTGTCCCGTATCGTGGCTGAGTGTCTCAGAGGTACAACGCCATAGTAAATAACAGCCGGGGGCTCCACCTCCACACGCCAGGCTGTTATTCCTTTACAGTAGAGAAATCATAAAAGGACTGCAGTCGTAAATACACATCCTCCAACTGCTCTATGAAGACTCCAGATGGGAGTTATAGGCGCACAGAGGCGTTTGCATGTATTAGACGCTATAAAGCTTTGAAATAGGGAGTCTTTTGTTACAGTGAAGGACAACATTAGAGCGTGTGTCGGCTGAATGAACAGAGCGTGGACAAATCAACTGGAAGACATCCTGGAGAAACGTAACTGAACAAAATAGAGGACAAACCTGCTGAGAGAATTCTAAGTCATGGGTTTTGACTAGGGATGGGCGACTACCAATACCAGGTATCGGTATCAGGGCTGATACCGCCCTTATTTTAATGTAGGGAGTACTCCTGAAGGTTGCCAATGCCAGCCACCAATGCTAAAGTAAGGTGACCAGACGTCCCGATTTCCGGGGACAGTCCCCGTATTGGATGACCTATCCACGGCTAAGGCTTCCCCCAGAAATGTCCCCAATTTAAGCGCATCATGAATGAGAGCAAAAATGTTGTGTGTAGACAAGAACGAGTAGGTAGGAAGCACGAGCTCCCAGGCCAGGCGAGAGATATAATCCCTCCCCCTGGTCCTGGGCCGGCCACATGGTCTCCTCCTGGTGGGACACGTCTGGAACACCTTTAACGGGAGGCGTCCAGAAGGCGTCCTAACCAGATGCCCGAGCCACCTCAGCTGACTCCTCTCGACGTGATGGAGCAGTGGTTCTACTCTGAGCGCCTCCCGAGTGTCTGAGCTCCTTACCCTATCTCTAAGGCTGAGCCCGGACTCCCTGAGGAGGAAACACATTTCGGCCGCATGTATCCGTGATCTTCTTCTTTCAGTCATTACCCAAAGATCATGACTGTAGGTGAGGATCGGCACGTAGATCGACTGGCAAATCGAGAGTCTCGCCTTACGGCTCAGCTCGTTCTTCAACAAGACAGATGGTTAAGCGTCTGCATCACTGCTGACACTGCTCAATCTCCCGCTCCATTCTACCCTCACTCGTGAACAAGAACTTTTCTTCTTCAGCAAAACTAGACAAATCTGTGCATGTCCAAGCTTCAAATCTGAATTAAAGCTTCGTGCATGTATACACATGTCATGATCGGGTTATTTGATTTTGCGCCTGTATAAGCAGTGGATTCAGATTTTCCGATCCCTCAAATTTTTAATCGGATCAAGAAATTTTGGACACGTAAACATAGTTTTTGTAATGATGACGAGATGTGTTAGTCTGTTGACTGTGCGACTTTCAAACCATGAATCGATTATGCTAAAACCGCTAAAACCAAACCTGGCTGTGTTTTGATTTTCATGAGGAAGATGGCGGACTACTCCTTTAAAATACTTTTCCCACTGAAGTGACACAGTCATAGATAAAGAGTGCAGGTCTATGAGTTTAGATGTATACAAGGCAAATGGTTCAAACTGAAGAGAAATCACTCCTTCTTGCTCACTTTTTAATCAAACTTCCTAAGTTCTCCATCTCATCCTCAGGCCCCGCCCTGTAACCCGACACCACTTCCCCCTCTCCGGCAGCGAAAACTGTAATGAAATCTATCGTTTCCAGATCAGTGGAGGAGGGAGAGCGTGAAGGGGGGAGGCGTAGCGTGACCTTCTTTGATCCCCTCTGAAGGTCTTCCTCGTTCCCACCCCGCCTCCTCCGCCTCCTCCTCCTCCTCCTCTTATGTGCATGTTGCGCCCTGCCAAGCACCTGTCTGCAGGTATGAAATTAGAGAGACAGACAGAGTCCGGGCTTTGGCTTCAGCACAATGTTCTCCATGGTCTCGCCTGCCTGTCCTCGTCCTCCCCTCTGCTTATCTCTCCATCCTCATCAGCCCTCAACACATCTGTCAGCGTCAACATCTCAGGATAAATTACAGACTTTGAATGGCACAAAATGGAAGCAATGATGATTACAATCAGACAAGAGGATCTGCGATACAGAGGCGCTCTTTCCTCCTCCTCCGTAAGGCTCTGAATACTACGAGTAACGGCCTCGTCTCCTGAAAACTAGCGTTCTGTTTGAGACTTGGCTCTGTCTACAGCTCCTTATCACCTGCTGAGTTTGAGGATAACCCAGAGGATAGAGAGGCTTAGCTTCACAGTAACAGAAACTTCATAAGCTGCAGAATAAATTCATCAAAAGGTGTGTCAGTGTGATCCAAACTGGAGCTCCAGATCAGAAGCTGTCTGGTTACATAAAGAGAAAAACTCGGAGAGAGTTGGAATGAATCTGGGTGTTTATATCAGAGACAGTTCATCACAGAGGACAGGACCATTTCTTAGACATGTTTGAAGCTTCAGTGTGCAGAATTTCAGGGACTTAGCAGAACAAACGCGGTAAAAATATTGTATTTAATTGAATTAAATAAAATCCAGATTTTCTTTCTCTGAAAACTCGATTTTCTGTTTTGATTTCTTATTCAGTGACAACTTCAACAAACTTCATTTTAAAAATAAAAAGTTTTTCTATCATCTCTAAAACAAAACCACTGAAAATGATGTAGTGCATATGCCAAGCCAGTATGTGGCGCTGTAACGCTGCACAGGAAATACACAAAAGTCAGAAGAAGAGTACAGAGCATGTGTATAAAGGTTGTTTTGGCCGGACACGCCATCCACACGGAGATGAAATGGTCGTCGTTTACAGATTTATTCACTCTCTGACCTGTTTTTAAAAAGTACTGTTTACAGTCGCCCAAAACGCCGTTTCCGTGAGAATGAAACATCGATACGACAAAAAACTTTAGTGTTTACTCCTGAATTCGTTTCCGTGGTGACGGGTTGATACCGCCTTCAGACAGACTTTGCAGCAGGGAGTGGTTTACTCTTCATCTGAAACTGTGAAGTCGAACCAATTCAACACGACTGACTCGCTCTTGTCCTATTTAACCACGAAACTATCGCCTTCTTTTGCAAACGTCAAGTTTGTTTACACTGGTGTGTGTGGGAACTGGAAGGGGGAGCCTACGGTGGCCTGGAGGCCCGAGACAATATAGAGAAGAAAATTGATTTGAGGATTTCATTTTTTTTAACATCGTCATAATCAAATAATCTGATTAGGATTTAAAATTGATTAATCGTGCAGCTTTGTTGTTTCGTAATTTGTAATTTTAGACAGAGAAACTTTGCTTAACTTTAAGACAATGACTTTGTGGAATAGCAAAAGTGAAGGAGGCTTCCAGAGATCTTACTAATTTGGGTGAAAGTGGGGTCCTGGAGGAGACGGGGTCTTAGGGGTCAGTAAAAAGTCAGTAGCTGTAATGAAGCATCAGAGAGTTTTCAAAGGCAGCAGAAACCTGAGACAGACGACGTGATTTTGAGCCGCTACAGAGGTATTAAAGGGACACTGAAAATGAGTGTAATCGCCCTTTAATGTAAACTGTGAAAACTGTGAAGACTTTTAATTGCAGCATTAATATCAATTTACATCGACTATTATGGATTTTGTCAGTCTTTGGAGGTGCTAACTGTCTCTGGGATTTAAAACGATAACAGAGATTCAAATAAAGACAAACTCTTCTGTGCAAAAATTAGGAATTTAAGCTTGTCTGACAATCTAAAACATGAGTACTGAGTTGAAGTAGAGAGACGACCACCATGCTCTCCAAACAGACTCTAAAATGCACTGAGATGTAAACTTCTGAACTATTTTAACACACATTTATTCATTTCTGTTGGATGCTAAAACCACCTGAAGCTCCCATCAGACCACCACCACAGGATAAAAAACTGCTGGCACTGCCCCCCAGAGGTGTTATCTTTGGTCGGGATCATGCCTCACCTCTGAAGGCCTCTCTGTGTCTTTTTTCTAATCTCTAATTCTGAGAGCAGAAGCCCTCCTGCAGAGACCTTTAGAGGAATGTGACAAGTCATGAGACTGCCACCACGGCATCAATCTCTCCTCCTCCTCCTCTGTTCCTCTCTCTTTAATGCACAGACTGCAGAGTTCAGCTATAAACTGGAGGATATGAGACACAATGGTAGCTGACCCGGGTCACTTGAAATACTGGAGGTGTGTTTGATTTACTGCACGAGGTATAACTGCAAAAAGCTGTAAAACTGGAAAGTGTGTGTGTGCCAGGTGAGATAAATCAGGAAAATCTCACATGCTGTAAATCGAAACACATGTCCGACGCAGAGATTGAGGTTATTTTAATGTTTCAAATGTGCTGCACACATTACATAATCTGCGATTTCATGGGAGGTTGATACTAAAAATTGACGGTAACATGTTACATCCCTTCTAAGTCATGGCAGTAGTTGGTAGGTGGTATCCACATTTCATACAGAGCCTGTAAAAAGTCTCCCTCAGACCGTGGATTTAATCCAACATGACTTTTGCATGTCAGGATCCCATTTGCAGCCCGAGGACCAAATCTCTTCTGCCGGCTGAGGTCGGGTAAAATAATACGTGGGCATATTTGGAGAGGCAGCTGATATGGATCCAAATGGCAGATGACAGCGGCAACAGAACTGAGCGCTAATGTGTGCGTCCAAAACGAGAGTGTGTTTGTTCAAGTGTTTCCTTTCCGTGTGTCTGTAGGAGATCCATCATCTGGGTCAGATTACAAAGCGGCGGGGATCCTCGGTCGATTCCGACTGACGGATGAAAAGAAGACCAAAGATGGCAGCTATGTCAATAACAGGAGTGGCCTCTGCTGACATCTGCCAGCCTTAGACCCTCACCCCCTCACCCCATTAGCTCCGTTTCATACGCCACACCAACCAGATGCGACTCCTGCCCGCACCTGTCACCGAAACGACCCCTCAACCCTGACAACCTTTCATTATTTTCTTTACTTAGTTTTAAAATAGTGCCGTTTAGCTGCTAAATGATAGCACCACTCATCTCTTACACACACCTCATTTTTCACCCGTACAGACAAGCCCCTAAAATAGCAGCAGTGAACCGTACAGTATGTCACCATAATTCAATTACTTTTGCTGAAATGCTCTCTCGAAATTGCAGTTTGGACACAACTCCGCTTCATTTTCCACTCTGGGAGCGGTGACATTTGCGCACAAAGTCGCATAAATCAAGAAAAGCTCCCAAAGCATAAATTGAAACACATGTTCGATGCAGCCACACACTCATTTAGGCTAACGAGAAACACTTGTATTTCGTTATAGAAATGCTCCACACGTGATAATGTATCTGCTGTTTCACAAGAGCGTCACGCAGCTCGAGATACGACGACGATGATACGGTGAAGAGCGGCGATATGGGAGGCACCGCAGAGACAGAGGAGAGGAGGGAGGTCACACATTTCAGGTAGCACATTCCTGCATAAGAGGCGGACTTTGTTATCTGCAGCTGAGATATGAGACTTAAAGTCAGAGAGATGATGTGAAACAATATAATCCAGCTTTAAAGAAGGAAAGAAGGTGATAAAACAAGAACATTTCCTACTCTTTATCCTCTCTATGATATCACATGTCAGTAGATAGAGCTTTTATTCACCCTGAGGCCACATAAATATAACCAGAAAATTTTATTGTAACAATTTCCCACTGAATTTCCCACTTGCTGATTCCCAAGTCCAACTCTGATTGTTTTTTTTAACTACTTAAAGTATTCTCAGTGATCTTAAAATTGTGATTATAAAGCTTTTAGCCAAAATCACGTTACCTGTGTCATTTTCGAGGACTTTTCTTCTGCAGAGCTGCAGTAGCGGAGACAGCGCTGCTCTGCACACTCCTCTTCACGCTAGCTTGCAGCCTAACTATCTTCACACACCAAGCGCAAGTAAAATTATTCGCACGACTTAACTGTTTAGTCAATGCAAAGATGCGATTAGATGCTCGTACTACTCTGGTGACGCAAATGACGTGAATTGGGCGGGAGCTGAAAATGTCTTGTTGCTCCAGCACAAAGGTTGCCGTGTGACGTATGAAAACAGACGGTTGTTCACTGGTGTCTAAAATGGAGGACAAACTGATCGAGTTGGTGTGTGAGTGCCCCAAATTATGATGCCTTTTCTTTTAATTACCGAAACCATGATAAAAAGGAGCTCGTCTGGAGGTAAGTGAGTGAGGAGGTCGGATTACCTGGTATGAATGTGAGTGCCCCATAACATTGCCGATGTTGTAGAAGTAGCAGGTAACATAGGAGCTATTCAGTTCTCAGACACTAATGTCTTTAGGGACATGATGAAAGTTAATATCATAGTAAACTTTCTTACCAACATTGCAATCAGCTAACACACACGCTTGTTCCGCGATCGTCCTCTCTACTTCTCTGAGTCTGGCCTGCATAGCGGGGCTCTGGGGGCGGAGCTTGGATTTGTGACATAGGAAATCTCATCGAACCTGCTGTTTGGGTCTGTGAGAGATTCACAGTGATTTGAATACACAAATACTCAGAAATGCAATTTTGCAATTAGTTCTCTCATGATATGTCCTCAGGCATCAGAAAAATGTCACATGAACATGTAGACAACAAGAAAAACAGGATTTTCATCAGAGTGTGCAGCAAATGGGTTAGTGGTAAAGGGACTGTACTAACTGTACTATCACTTCAATGTCTTTTATACGACACGCCTCACCCATTTCCTCCAAATCACACACTCATGGTAATGTGCAATGCAAATGTTGAACACACCATCGGCTGTAACATCAGAAGCTATCTAGAGTTATAGAGAAATAATCATTCCTCCAAAACTCAGACTAACTCAGAATAGCAGCTGTGGTTGTGAAAACAGAGAAGAAGCTTCATAAATGATCCATCATTGATTTAGACTAATGGGACCAAATCAATCTGTTAAAGGTGTTGAAAACAGCCCCCTGTTGACTTGCAAACTGTGCAGATGCATCTTGACACTTTCCATTTCACTGATGAAGATGGAAACTCTGCAGGATTGGAGCGACAGTCGTGTCAACCTGCAGCTTCGGAGTAAATAAACCCACGGCTGCTGATCATCTGTTAGCTATCAGTGCTTCTGAATATTTGCACAACTCTTCCCCGGGTGTAAAATATCTGCCAGAGACTCTCCATCTGGCTCACACTGTCAGTGTCATGAGACACTTTGCTCCGACATGCAGACACTTAACCTCCCTATCTGTGTCTCAGCTGCCAGGCTCCTCTTTGAATCAGTGTTTCTGGTATGTGTGTGAGAGAGTGTGTGAGTGTGTGTGAGTTTGTGTGTAAAACTGCCCTCTCTCTGTTTGTGTACAGGTCTGAAAGCATGTCTGTATGTTTCTGGACGCCAACAGTCAGGTATATTGTGGGTAAACCTCTGAGGGAGCTGGCCAGTGAGGTTGACTGTGAAACTATTAATCTATGTGATGACAGATCAAGTATAAAACTAACACACAGCTCTCACTGCAGCTACAGATGCCAATCTCAGGGTTTGCATGTGTGAAGAAGAGCCGTTGGTAAAGAACCAGACCAGGACAGAATCTAATTTTACTTGATGCTCATGTTTTGGTGAAATTGGCAGAAGTTTTGGCACCTTGTGATGTGGGTCTACTTTTTTATTGGAGGCTAAGATCAGATAAGCGGATAATAGAAAGATTAATCTGTTTTACTGGGTTGTGCAGGTGTGCTGGGAGGATTGGCAACTGTTTAAAAACACGACCGTGTGAACAGAAGGCGCTGAATGTTTTGTTGGAATAGTGGTCATGTAAACCTGCTCCGTGTTAAACTTTTAGCTATTTAACTCGAGTTCGACTTCTGTGTGAGTGTGTTCAGATTTAATTACATTAAAGCTCCTGTGAGGATTTTTCATCTGGTTATGAAAAAGGCTGAATTAACTTCTGAGATCTCTTAGTGAGCTATAAAAGCAAACAAGACCATCAGCGGCAAGATTAACTTTTTCTACACGGTCATCTTGAAGGTTTAGCTGCTGTCAGGGGGGTAGGTGTCCAGTGATGTGATTAACAGCACCACGCAGATATTGGATTAGATTAGATTAGATTAGATTAGTAGGGCTGTAAAGTCCTAGTCGGCTGGTCGATTCATTGGTCGATATGTGCTGAGTCGACCAAAATTCTGATTGGTCGACTCGATTGTTTTCTGCGTCAATTTAGAGTCTAAGGTTAGGGTTAGAGTTAATTTCATGGTTGATTTCATCAGAAGGAATGTACCAAGTGCTGATTGGGGTGTTTTCAGAGCACCTCAGTTTCAGAGGTAACAGCCTGTCCCAGAACACCCCCCCTTGTTTTCACCATTTTGGATTCGCCCAACCCACTGGAGACAGGCTGGAGACAGGAAGATTGAAGAGCGTCCACATTAATCAACGTCCAATGTTTTACTGAATATTCATAATTTGGCCTGCAGTGTTTAATTGCCTTCTTGTGCTGATATCAGAAAAATATCAGACCTTCCCTCTTGCACAGGTTTATTACAATCTAAGAATCATCAATCTTGTGGCTGATGGTCTTGTTTGCTTTTGTAAATCATAAAATCATGATTGATGTAAATTTTACCCGATTTCCTAAACATAAAGAACTCCTCACTGTAGCTTTAAATCAAGTTTAGATCTACTAAACTTGTTGTCGTATCACAGTAAAGCAGATGCAGTTTGAGTTCTCTCTCTCTCTCTCTGGTGTCTGTGCAGCTTTCTAAGAGTATTTTCACCCTCTACGTTGAGGTTACGATTGCAGTAATGATGGCATTCCTGCTGTTGCTGCACTGTAACGTGTTTAGACATCTGCAGCAGGGTGTGATCACAACATCAGACCCAAAATGGTGCCTATCTTATCATCAGCACATTAAGGAAACATCAAAACATCACAGTATCTCAGACCTCACCTGGTTACACCACCCTGCACCGTCAACAAACCCGGAGTCCCTGAAAGAGATCTACATCGACATGAGCTCAGTGTGACAGCTGAGGCAAACCCTGAATGAAGTCAACTCTGGTTTAGTGAGAGGAAAGGATTATTGTGAGAAACATGTGGGGTCTTCCCTTTTTCTGGCTGCATGTTTGGAGTTGTGCGCACTGCAGATAAGAGGCAGGGATGTGAATGTGTGATGATTAAAGAGACGGGTCCATATCTGAAAGGGGGTTAGCATGTGTGTGGTTGTGTGTCGGAAAGGCGGGTGTACTGTATATCCTGTTTGGTAAACCTGACACACACATACAGAAACAGCCACAAAAACACTAAACAACAGAAGAAGTGAAAGGAACGCTTTGAGAAGAGGGAGGAGAGCGTGGAGCTCAAATAAAGACAAGTGAGAAATAAGCGGCTACTGTTCGCCAAATGTGAATTACACTGTTTAAGGGAAATTAAGCTTAAATAGAGAAATCATTAAAGTTCTGTGCAGCACTCAGGCTAACCCCAGAGAATCTGAACTGCGGTAAGGCAAGACGAGGCGACCACAAGAGGGCAGGCCGAGTCTGAAATAGACGTCATAGAATTCATCATCACTGGTTTTTATAGAGCCAAGAAACAGTCCTGCAACTAAACGAATCACCGTCAACATGAAACACAACAACAACAATGCTGTCTTTATCATAGTTATCATTAATATCTACAACACCATCACCATAAACTACCAAGAGCCAAAAGAGTCCAGGTGCAAGTCATCGTCAGAGCTTAACAGGCGGGAGGGAGTGTAGACCTGCATGAGGAACTGCAGGTAGGCGGGGCGGACTTTGTTGTAAAAAAAACAGTAAATTACTGGCCACATTTTGTATGACTTTCACAGTAATCTTCACAGTTATTTACTGCTAAATATCCTCACAGTCATTTCTTGTAACTTCACACCTTTAACCTCATACTGTAGTTTCACAAAGGCTAGATAAGTGATATTACAGTTATTTGTTGTAAAACAGCAGTTAAATGCTGTAAAGTTCAGTGTCACAGAAGTTCCTACAGCTATTATTTTTGATATCACTGGGACTTTTGATCTCAGTATTTAACTGCAAAATAATACTGTTAAATATTGTGAAATCCTGGTCATTTTTAACAGTGTAGTTTTATATTTGATGCAGGCTGACAATAGGAGCTAGTGAGGAGAAATCAACATTAGATGGGCTGTTTTGAGCTGTTTTGGGGTTGGTTGAAGATCAGGTGGGCTGGGGTCTGACAGTGATTGCTGAGGGGGTCTGCCAGTAAGGAGTTGCAGTCGTTAATGTGTTATAATAAGAAAAAAAACATCCAACTACCTATAAACTGCAGGTCATTACAACTGCAAAACTATTTTTGTTTTGTTAGATTTATCAAATCCTAAATCAGTGTTTTTGGCAGATTATTTTGTTTTCTGTGCAATATCAGATTATTAGTTTCATATTAGATGACCTTTTCTTGTAAAACTGGATCTGTTTATCTTCTTCTTTCTTTATTTTGTACCTGTCGTCTCCTTTTGCTCCTTCTGACTAACTTTTTATTCTGATATCTCCCAGTTATTGTTTGATGCACACCTCCTTTCAGCCCCGTAATCCTGCAGCGACAGCAGGAATGATTTTGGTACGACCAACTAAAATCCAGAGTGACCGGCATGAATGAACCCTGTCTGAATATCCAGTCCACATGTATGCATATATTTGATTTTTCAAGTTATGTGTGAGAGTTCATGTGTCCCGGTGCGTAAGCGTGGGATGTGTAGGATACATGCCCAAGCAAACACACACCACACACGTAGGCCACCGTGGTCGATCAGTGGAGGAGTATTAGTTTCAGGATTGAGAAATTATTTCATTATAAAATAGCGTCGACTGTGTGTTCTCTGGCAGCCTGTGCCAGCTCTCATGTATGTGTGTATGTGTGGGAGTGTGTGTGTTAGTGTGTATTAGTGGTGTGGATGTATGGGTCTGTGTATGAGCAACAGGAAATGGGAAAAGGTGTTGAAGGTGAGATTAAAAAAACTGTGCATGCATTTATTTAGGAATCCATCTGAGGGCATCCATGATGTTTTTGATGTGTTTAGTGTATATGTGGGTGTGTGTGTGAGTGCGTGCACATTCCTGAGAGGACCCTGAGTGGATCAAAGCCTCTGACACCCCAGGCAGTGTCGTCCTGAGGGAGCCAGCTGTCAGATCAGGGATCAGAGATCAGCGGCGTCTGTCCTCCCTGCTCTCTGCTCTCTGTGGGGTCTGTCACAGCAAGTTAGCACTTAGCCAGAGGCTAGGATCAACAATTAGATTAGCCTTGCCCAAAATAATGGCTGTCAAAGGGCAGTGGACCGTCAGAGAGAGGGATAACAGAGCTATAAGAGTCAACACAAGAAAACTTTTTTTTAACTCAATCATCCTGATAAATTGAAAATAAAAGCCTGAAAGAATAGTTTTGTTTTCAGTTTACACTTAAAGCTCCTATGAGGAGATTTTAGCTGGGTGTGAAATCAATCGTACCTCTTACTTTCATAGAAAATACTCCCAGTGAGGGATACATAAGACTGTCAAAGGAGGGCAGGATGAGATTTTTTTTTTTTTTGGTCTAAAAACAACTTTTATGTGTAAGGAACAAAATCAGTACACAGATCAGAAGCATCACTTTGTCCACAAGGGGGCTCCAAAATCCAACCCAACAAAAAGTTCCTCAAAGGAGCTTTAAAAATGGCAACAGAGAGGGAGGACTTGGCTGAAAGAGGTACACTATTCCAGGGCCTGAACATAATATACCCAAAAGACAAACTTAAGCGTTAAAAGCTGCAGTCCTTTTAATAGCCACTTGAGCAACTCTGTTAAAACACCAGTTTAAAAGTGAAAATAGACACAATAACAACCTGGTACAAAACTTTTTTTAAGCTATCTATTCTTAATTGAAAAAAAAGGAGGGCAGAATGACCTTATAAATTAATATTTATATTTTTTTCAATTTTCATTTTTTAAATTTCCTATTTTCTAGTTTTTAGTTATTTTTACATATTTTTTAATGTTTATTTTTTTACATTTTTAATTTTATATTTGCATTTTTTAGAAGTTTGATTTTTTCTTTAATTTTAATTTTTTTAAAATCTCTATTTCTTATTTTTTATTTATATTTATAAATATATATTTAATTTTAATTCTTTTAAATTTATAATTGTCTTTATTTTATATAAATTTATATTTCCTTTTTATTATTTTAAGTTTTTTTTTTTTTATTTATTAATTTTTAGCTATTTATTTTTAACTGTAAAAAAGCTGTAATAGGGTTGAATTTTCCAAGCTTCATCTTTGGTAGGTTTCTTGGTGAACTGGATGCAGTATTTTCAATATAGTGACCCTCATTGTTGGGCTTTATAACGTCTCTTCAGTTACAGTTACTGAGACACACCATGTTTTATACAGCCTATGGCATAGGCTGTATAAAACAGTGTCATCATGGGGTGTTTGCATAGGCCCTATGCAAACACCCCATGATGACACTTTATCTTCCAAATCCTTTCAGTCCATTTATCCACCTTCTTACTTCAGTTTCTGTAATACAAAAATAAAGAGCTATCATCACTCTGAGTTTCAAGTGAGCTGAAGAGAGGGGGTTGTGTTTGATAAGACGGAGAAGAAAAACAACAAGAAAGTTGGTAAAAATCTAGGTGAACTATTAAATGAACTCCAATCGCAGCATCATATTCCTGTCTGAGGCAAACAGATTGATAAATACTTCAAACTGAAGGTGAGCAGCTTCCTGTGTGTAAACAGTTTTAGGACTGAGATTGCAGGTTTTCTAAATCAGTTTAAATAAGTCAGGAACTGTTTTCAGACTTAAATTTTTTACCTTAAGGAGTGAACTGTCGGGAAACGAATGGGAACAGCAGAGAAAACTACATTAATAAAGCAGAGTGATCATTTACCGAACCATATACTGTTTCATGACCTTAAAAACACGTTAAGACTGTGAGAAACCATGATTGCTCTGAACGCGCACAGACTTGGGCAAACGGTCAATTGGCACAGAAAAGTGAATACAACTACGATGATGCATGACAAACCTGCCATATAAAACACAACACCGGCGGTGAAATTACTCAACTCGATTGCGCTGACCATCGGCTGTGAGTAATGGTGTCAGGAGGAGTGTACGCACCCCGCTGAGTGCGTGCCAGGCCCCTGGTCAGCCCACCCGACCTGCATGTGCTGCCAACTCTCACTTGGCAGGAGCTTTGAAAGCGTCTCTACCTCCGCAGCGGTCAGCAGTGTCAACAGCTCCGTCGGACCACATGTAGCTGATGAATCAGTGTGACTGCAGCGCCTGTGTGTACATGAGCATTTCTAATGGGCTGTGATACAGGCTTAAGCAAACTCTGTGTCTGTGTGTGTGTGTGTGTGTGTGTGAGTGTGCAGCTGCTTCAGATATGAGATTAGTCATCTCTCTACTAAACGTCTCGCAGTTACAAGGTCGGTTTACTCAAACGACAGACAAAAACATACTTCCCCGCTAACCTTGAGTGGTATTAGGTCATGACGATAGCTTCAAGTTGCCCGTGTAAAAGTTTTTATTATATTTGAGTATGATATTCCTGCCTCCGCTCCAATAATATTGAGGTTAAGGCGTTTTATTTGTGGATCCCGCAGCATTAAAAGTCAATAGTGGAATCTTCTCCCAGACAGAGTTTTCCCATTACTCTCAATAGTCCACAGAGCTGACTGTCAACAGTTTTTAATTGGGACTATTTCTTTGGTAGAGCTTGGTTCCAATGAAAACTCCAGAGTGAAGTCTGTGAAATATCCACAGTTTCTCCGACTTTGCTGCCACTGACTGTTTTATTTTTTTTTCTACTGTATTCAATTTTCCCAGCATGTACTCCGGCGGGCCAAAGCTATCTCTACACTTTGTTCTCGGTCTGTACAGAGTCAGAGTCAGCAACTCAAATCTGCTTCAAAGTCGAGTTTGGGGATTTTCTTGGGCAGCACTAAAACCAACGTGGAGCTAAAGTGCCAAAAACAGAAAAGTTTGTAAAAGAAACGAGTCTTGGTGAAATAGATTGGTAGAGGATCTTTGGCTTTTTAATAAGGTTTCATGTTTGAAATCGATTCCTCAAGTAGCTTTAGGACACACTAACAACTCCCTAATGAAAATGAACCCAAATTAAAAAAAAAAAAAAAGTGCCTTTCATTGGCTGGTGATAAGATACAATACGATAAGATACCATACAATAAGATACGATACTGTACAACACAATACGATAAGATACAATACAATACGGTACATTACGATAAGATCCCATACGACGCAATACAATACGATAAGGTTTATTTTGATACAATACAATATGATAAGATACGATACAATAAGATAAGATTTAATACGCTACAATACGAAACTAACGATACAATACAATAAGATACAATACGATATGGTACGATATGCCAAGTTACAATATGATTTGATACGATAAGATACAAAACAATGATACGATACGATAAGATACGATAAGATAAGATACGATATGATACAGTGACCATATTCTGAATCCCAAAAAAGATGACACAACCACGTGGGGGCGGAGTCACAGAGTCGTTAATTTTAAAACACTTGACCCAACCTGAGTTTTTCAGGTTGGGTCGAGTGTTTGAAATCTGTTTTTTACTTGTCTGAGGGAGTTTTTACGCGCTTCTTACACAGTAAGTCCACATGACACAAACTCAAAACTTCCATACAAAAACTTCCATATAAACTCCCTCAGACAAGCAAAAAACAGATTTCAAAGTCGTTCATTTCATTTTTTGAGACTCTGTCAGAAGGTTAGAGCTCATACTCAAAGTGGACGAGATATTGTGCATGATGGGAAATCCCCATCCTTCAAATTAAGGCGCCATAGAAATATTTGCCACAAATTTTTCAAACAGATCTGCAAACCACTGAAAACGGCTTCATGATTTGTTTTTGGGTCCCAACCAAAAACTAAGAACTTAACTTACAAAACGATCGATTTGTGGTGTGACTTGACTAAACTTTGTCGACTGGCGTGATGACATAAAGGAAGATGATCATCTGCTATTTCTTGACAAATTTCTATCTTTTTTTGTTATTTATTATGACTATAATGAGCCAACAGGTCCCAAAGCCCTTCATCTGCTGTATTGATCTGTAATCATGCCTAATTCATGTAGTCTGACCTCGACACAGAGTTCAGCAATCTATAGTTTTCTGCAATAGAGGCTAAACAAGCTTAATTCCATTCATAAGGATGGAGAAAAACTTTTAAAACAAGATTTTCAGCAAGGTTTGGTCTTCTCGAGGAGTATGAAGTCAAAATATATATATTTTTTAGAGGTCCATAAGATGCCAACAAACCTTATGGCTGAAGTTTTAACCAATATTCATCGTTGTCCTTTTGCACCTTGCTCCAAAAGCTCCCCAGAGTCCTCACATTTAGAAGTTTGAAGCTCAGACCCCCTCCTCCACACACACACACACACACACACACACTTTCTCTATTCCTGCCCTCCTTCTCTCCCTTCCTCTCTCTCTCTTTTACTCCCTCCTCTCAGCTCAAAACTATAAGAGCCAGGGAGGAGTGAGCACACACACACAAAGCACCTCTCCTCTTATGCACGCACACACACTCGCTGCACATGCATGGAGTGGAACTGATCCACGGGGCTGCACAGTAGTGAGGCAACAGTGTGTGATCCAGAAAGAGAGGGGGGTTGGAGAAAGAGAGAGAGAGAGAGGGAGAGAGACTGCTGACTCTCTCTCTTGCAAACTTCAGGGGAGCTGCAGTGTGGAGAAGTTGCATGGAGTGTGCTGTTCCAGCTGAGGACTTTTCTATTGGACCATGAAGACCAAGAAGTGGAGGCAGAAGAAGTAGAAGAAGAAAAGAAAAAAACATCTTCCTGCTGGCTGGACAGGCACCCCGAGTTTCACTGAGGGATTAGCGGACTCCTCATTCACGCGCACAGGTCATGGTGATCTCCTACGTGAGCGTCTCTCGTTGACAGGAGCTCCTCTGTGTCTTGGATTTCTCCGGGATCAAAGTTTGTTTTCCGAGCGGACTGTGTGAATGAAGTGTGCGGAAGCAGGAAACATGTCAAACGGACGTCTCAGTCACCTGTTGAGGGGAGTTTGGCTGCTGGGGCTGTGGCAAGGTGAGTCCACACACTGTCCACAGAACTCTCCTTTTACTCCTTCAGCTGTTTAAACAACTTTTTTTCTTTTTAAAGACACGAGAGTTGTGCTAAATTTCACCCCGAGATGAGAAACATGGGCAGATTTTTAGCTGATTAAATAAAAGCATTTTTGGAAATGTTTGTCAAAACTGGTTAGAGACGGATTTAGCTGATATTGGCTTTCAAATTTCATCATCTTCAAATTCAGAAATGAGACTCCAACAGATTTTCTGTGTTTTTGAGGTAACACTTTGTTGGATTTGCCACATGAAAACTGTGCAACATTCGTATATGAAGAAAATGAACCCTGACAGATTGAAGTAATCAGAAAGATTCAACTCTTTGTCTCTAAAGTTGGACTTTAAATCTTGGAGATTTCTGCAGATTTTTCCTCCTAATCCAAAAGTCTTTCAGTCGGTTATGAAAAGAAGATAGATCAGCTGAGGAAGGGATTATCAAGGACAAAAACTGATATTTACCAGGAAGTTATTAAGTCATTTTTTCCTGGTTAGGTGGATCAGAACTTTAAAAACAAAAACACGACCTCTGCTGAGATTACAGATGTATGAATAGTGAGTCTGTGTCCCTCCTCTGCTCTGCTGCGTGTCTTCAAAGCGTCAGTGGGATCTGGAGGAGTCTTAAAAGAAGCCCCGGCTGGTGCCTTTAAACAATGGTTCCCTAGGAGCGGGGAAGCGTGGCCCTGGAACTAATGTTGCCATTATGTTAATGGTTAGAATAACAGGAGACAGTCATTACTGACCTTACCTCGGGCTGCTGCGCTGAGACGGTTGTCCAGCAGCCGCAGCCAGGATTGCGGAAGCGCAGCATTTTGGCCTTCAGGGTTTGTTAGGGTGATGGGCGGCCGGAGACAGACAGGAGGAGGCATCTGCCCGGCTCTAATCATCATCCAGAAACCCCCGCCAGCTCCCCAAAAAACCCCTCCACCCCTGAAGCTGTCCCAGCGGCAGGCTTGTAGACTGGTATCTGTGAATTGTTTTCTTTTTCACAGCTCAAGTCTAGTTGGAAGAGACAGGTGAGGTCAAGGAAGTAGACCTCGATGGAGAGGAGAAGTTTATCTCCACAAAACTAGACGTAATATTGAACCAAACCGGACAATTATCAGGTCATTTTTCTTCGATTTTCATCTGGTGCAATCTGAGGAATCCAGAGAACCTCGTCCTTAATGATGTGATGACTCTAAATTTCTTGATCCTCTTTGTCTTAACCTTCTTTGAACCTAAACTTTGACTCTAAACCTCCAAACACTCGGCTGCTGGATTTGTGCCTTTCCTGATGAAGTGTTTGAGAAAGATAAAAGAGACCGCAGCGAGTATTTGGAGAGAGTCTGGTGGATCTTCGTACCAAAGAATTTCCTGTTATGTCCCAAGTTTCCTGGATTGAACCGAACTGAATGGGAATGTTTTGCAATCCCAGAATCAAATATCTTGATATTTATCTTCGCTGACGAAACCCTTAATAAGATTGAAAACTAACTCCGGGATGTCGTGTTTAAAAGTCTCAATCCAATTTAAAAACTCTACAAACATGTAAAACAGCCACTGACCGGATCTCCTGAAACGTCTCCAGACCGAGTTTTTGGATTAAGGTGAAACTCGGTGTAATCTCAGCTTGAAAACATCAGCAGACCATCAACTCTTCTTGCACTCTATCTACATTTTGACTTCCTTGTCTCACCATCGAGAAGAAACACCACAAAGCATGTCAGGAGCTATTATAATCAGGATCATCTCCAGTGTCTACCAAAGCAGAAAACCCAAACTAAAACCCGATCTAATCCAGCGCTCATCCATCTGACTGAAATTACATAAGACACGGATGAGAAAAGCTGAGAAATGGAGCTTTAGCTGGCTGCGTTCGCCGGATTTTCCAGCTGTTTTCTTCACAATGCAGGTGTGAAACGCAGCAGATTTAGGAGCGTGTTTTTGCTCTGTGAACAGCGGTAGAAGTCCTCAAACCACAGCGGCGCTGGCAGCAGCGTCCGCTGGGCAAACCCCTGTAGATCCCTTGTCTAAATAAACGAGGCCGCCAGATTAAGCAGCTTACTCCGTGATGAAAAGACAACAGTAGTCGTGCATGCACTGCCCCGGGGACAGAGAGGGGACTCCTGGTCATCGAGATCGCTATGAGATGCTGGGAGAAATAGGAAAGACGGACCCGGGGTTATAAAAACACAACAAACCTCATGTTCTTTGAAAAACCTTGAAATCAACTTAACCTCCGCATGACTTTAGCGACAAGGGTGGAGGGAACGGAGAGAGAGAGAGAGAGAGAGAGAGAGAGGGGAACGAGGCCTGAAAATGAGGTTCAAATACTTCACATGGTTTCTGTAAGCTGGTTCAGTCCATGAAAGAAAAGGGCGGTAAAAAAGTTCAATAACACGTCCTCTGAGCGGTACATGAGTGACATTCGTTTTCAAACCCAACGTACTTTTTAAAAGTCTAAGGAGGTCGGTGTCTGACATGACAAAAATAACATGTCAAAATGTGGTTATTTTTAAACCTTACAGAGCATTTAGCACTGCAACAAAACTAATGATTTAACACTACTTCAGATCTGCAACATTAATAAAACAGACACAGACAAAGGAGTGTTACATAACAGGGTCAAACTCAAAAACCTATAAAATGCTTCTTTTGTGGTGAATATGAGTTTAGAAAAAGCTCTTTTAAAGTAGTGTGACTTTTGTGGATTCAGGAAATAACTTTTTCTCTTAAATTTATTGATCTACAGATCTTTTAAACATACAATCTGATTCTGATGTTTACTCAAAGACAAGATAGATGTTTTGAAAAGTCATGAGGACTTGAAGCGACAGCAGAAAGTTTCATAATGGTCCAGATATTTGATGTTTCCTTCTCAATGTACATTAAAAATAGTACAAGTCTCTTCTATCTGGGACGTAGGCTCGCTGTTACTCACTATTATGATGCTAAGGAGATAAATAATGTTGTTCAAAAGCACAATAAGTTACTGATATTGTCAAGATATCAACCCACTGGGTCATGATATCAATTTGATGCCAGTTCCAGTCTATTTCCCGCTGATCAACATGTTTCTATGTAGATTCAGTAATACCCCTAGATGACAAAATACCTAGATCACTTCTGTCGGTCGCTTTCTAGTATTTCGTACAGTGATTTCTGTCATGTCTGACCATATGGCGTGGCGTGGTTCCATCTTATTCTGAACACTTCAGGGTTGTAAAACGTCAACATGGTTTCAATGGTTGTGTAGGTTTGTTATACTTTAATACGATTTCACAGAACTTACAGACAACATGACATATATTATATTCAGCTCTTCTGTTTCAGTTTTAAATCAAAATCCAAAGTACAACATCCAAACATTAGCTTCAGAAACATGAGCAAGAAAACTATAAACAAAAGAAGAGATAACAAACTGAAACCCTATTGTGTGTTTACAAAACTAACTAAAACATACTAAAATTAAAGTTAAAAATTCCTTTGTTTTCGTTTTTGTCAATTTCAGATTGTTATATTTTTTTATTTCGCTCGAGCGATTTTACGTGAGCTAGCTGCACCGTACGACACCTCACAGTTCATCACTTTGTTTTTACATTCGACTTCACATCAGCCTTCTACCTGGAAAAATGGCAACAAAACTTGGGAGAAAGTGACAGAGTCTGAAACAACAGCCTTTAAAACTGGTGATAAATTATGTGGAATACTCCTCAAAAAAAAAGAAAAAAAACTCACAAATCTGAAAGTCCGTTAGAGAAGCTCACACAAGAACGCTAATCGTGAGGACCTCACGAATAGCATTCAAAATTCAATAAAAATGAACAAACCCGCTTTAAAAACTAATTAAAAAATCCAACACTACTATAACCTTGCAAATTAAATTAATCAATGTCGGGATTTTCTGAAGAGATGTAAAAAAATGGAGAAAAAATAATAATTTCAATGACCCGATGAATCAGTTTTTTACTTAGCCCTAGATTCCATATTTGTTTATTTATACCATTTAAATGTCAGTTTAACTTTTTACTGTGTGAATAAAAAACTTTAACTGTTCAGTCAGAGAGAAAGTTTTAAAACCAATAAAAAGCCAAACATGCCGACCAAACTCTATTGATAAAAACGCACATTTTTGTTTAAATTTATGTCATTTTAAAGGAAATTATGTTTATCCAATAATACTTTAATAAACTGCCGTGGGAACACTCACTGGAGTTTTAAAACAGCTCAATCTCAAAGAACGGAAACCACTGCGGGGAAACGATTTGCGAAGAGTTATGAGACGATAAAAATGATAAAAGAGAAGAAATGTGTAGAGACTGGCCTTATTTCAAAGTTTAGGTCGTCTTTCCTTCAAATTGGTCAAATTATCCCTTTTTCAGCCAGAGATTAAATTATCACAGACGCCTTTTTGATGCCGACTGCAAATCCGATACTTGTGTTGAGAGGTTAAAGCTAGATGCCGTTTTAATAGACAGCAAGACAAGCCAAAAAAAGTTGGGAATCACTATCTTATAACACCTTTCCCAGATCTGGAGGACAGCTCAGAGACTAAACCCTGCCTAAAAAAGCAGCTGCAAACTGTGATTAATGCGCAACATTCAACTAAATATGTGGAATGAGCAGAATCTCGGAGCTACTGTATCATCGAACACAGACACAAACACGCTCTCTCACACATGCACCTCACTAATCTTGTCATGAAGAAGCCTCATCCTGTCCTCCTCCAAATCCTCAAATTCATTCACCTCATCAAACACAGAGAGAGAGAGAGAGAGAGAGACAGAGAAAAGTCAGGACAAAAGAAAAGAAAGGGATTGATTTGAAGTCCGTCCACATGAAATGAGCCGTAAACATCATGTTTTTTTCATCAGAGGAGAGGAAGAGCAATCATCGAGGGGGGAAGAGGAGGTCAGGAGGGTAAGGGCACATCAGGGACAGTTTGGAGGGGTTTTGTGCTGCAGTACAGAGGCACAAAGACACAAGAAAGTGGCTTTACGAGACACCGGGGGTGACCACACTGAGAGCAATGGGGTGAGGATGCAGTAAAAAAGTGGGAAACACATGAGGAAGCAGTTAAAATACTTGAACATGAAGAAATGGGTCCTGGTTTGCCATTTTTCTGTGCACCAGCAACATTTCTTTCAATTTCACTGCCTTTAGTTTGACAGATTTAACAAGTCTCTGTTTTAGCCTTTAGTAAAAGCAGCTACGGAGCAGACAAAGATGTCCCTTTCTCATGAAAAATTACTTATAAGTCAAGTCATCCGTTTGCCCAGTAAACCCTGAATCAAACCTTCCTGGATGTGGTTCTTGTTTTTACAGGACAGCTCCAAATAAAGAGGTACATAAAACCATATTTTGACTTTGGCTCCTCAGATGAGACATGAGAGAGACGAGCGGAGGCTGCCAAACCGTAATCATAAATGCAAACAAACAAACAGAGAGCAGCGCGGAGGTCTTTTATAAATGCTGTCCCTTCTGTGCTGTAAATCATCAATGTGCGCAGTGTGTTTTTGCAGATGTGCACGTCTGCATGCATGCGTGTGTGGGTCGTATAATATCGGAGCTCAAAGACAGGTAGATTACTTTGGACAGCCAGCAGTCAGCAGTGAAGGCCGGTGGCAGCGGCAGTGTTGGTGGTGATGACAGACTGTCAGAGCAGACCACACGCAGGACACAGGCTGCTGCACTGACCCCTTGTGGGGGGACGATGTCACTGCAGGAGGAGGAATAGATGGATGGAGTGTCGTCTTTGTGAATGATGTGCAATGAGTTGTTCAGGGTTCGTGCAGAGGAGAGGAGGGAAAACACTGAGAGAAAAGTCCACTCTGATCCTTACTCAGCTACACTCCTAACAAGGTTCATGCCTCATTTTTAAGTCGGGCTTAAAAACAATCCTATTCGTATCTGTTCCTGTCAACATGTTCATAGAGCTTCTCTGCGGTTTTGTCAATTAGGCAAAATTGGCAAATTAAAGGTTGTCTGTGTCTCTCACGTGTTAAATGATCACGACCAGGTATCGACATGATTATTGTTAAAATTCAAAGTTTAGAGATCCCAGTTAAATAAACGTCCCCATAAACTGACCTCAAATAAAGTCTATAGTCCCCACTTCGCTCAAAAACGAATTAAAAGGTGTATTTGCTAAAACTGATTGATTTAATATTAAACCTCAACAGCTTTTTTTCAGCAAATATCCTGAGTTTTTCTCATGATTGTAGCTCTAATGAGATGTAGAGGAAGGACGATAACTTAAAGGCTGAATTTTAGTTTGACTTTTGTTTAAACTTTTCGTACACACTCGAACACAGTTTTGATCAAAATGAGGACTGTAGATTTGGTCCCCAATCTTTGAAAACAGGAGAAAGACAAAAAGGTAGGGTGACCATTCGTCCTCTTTTACCCAGACATGTCCTCTTTTTTGAGGGCTGTCCGGTTTGTCCGGGGAAGTTTATAAATCCTTCAAATATCTGCGGTTTTGTACGTAAGTTTCGAATTTGTGTCACATGGACTTACTGAGTTAGAAGTGCATAAAAGTCTCTCGATCCGACCCGCAAAACTCTCAAAATTAACTTTGTGTGACTCTGTGACTCCGCCCCGCATCGTCGTGTCCTCTTTTTAGGAAGTGAGAATATGGTCACCCTAATATAGGGAGAATGAGAATGAGAAGTGGAATCAGTTCCAGTGAGAAAATCTGAGGTATTTTGGATTCAGACTTCAAATTTTGCAGGAAGAACCTGTGATGAGTTCAGTGGATAGTTGCTTATTTATTCACAGTGAAACTTGGACATGCTTCCATCTGAATCCTGGATTTCATTAGGTTACTGATTTCTGACATGTTTTGATTAACATTCGTCAAAGTTAATTTGAGTAAATGTTTGTTGTTGCTCTTGATGAAGCGAACAGTTGCTGTCAATGAAAACCTCGCAGATGTCCGTGATTACGTGGATTACTGTTGAGCAACGAGCCTTCATATCCGACGTTGATATGATTCTCATGAGTTCGTAACTCTCTCGGTATAAACTCGGGTTTTCAGTAAAGTTTTGAAAATGTACGTACAACATCCAACCACCGTCTTAAATAACAGGAGAAATCTCCCCCAGAGGTAAAGTCCTTATTCTGTTTCCTTCTCTTGACTGAATTTCGCAATATTTGGATGTGCTTCCTGTCCCCTACTTGGATAAACACGCTTTTGGAAACTTAAACAATCCAACGCAAACCACCAAATTTACAAATGGCACTGAATCAGAATTAATCTGACAGTGAGTTTTATCGATGAAAATACATGATGTCTCTTTCTGAAAGACGCATTAAACCTTGAGGCCGAGGTGCGGACTGCATCAGGGAGAGTTTTAGGCCCAGAAATGGAAAAATAAATCAGTGGGAACCATTTCAGGGTTAAACTAATCATATCTGACTGCATGTGTAGGAAGTGAATGAGGTAAAATGGTCCCCCATCTCCCTCAAATTGCGTTGGGGGGTTGAATATTTTCATATGTATTACAACATCTCCTCACTTGTGGTTGAAATGGGCTCTTTTGTAGAAGAAAACCACGATGAGCAATTTTGTTTTACTAAGCTCTGCTTTTATGAGCACTGTTTTAGTAAACGCAACCATATGCCCATCTGGAACAAGATCCAAGAGAGAGAAGGGGGCTGAATGACAAGTGACCTCAAGAAACACTATAGAAATAATTTGGCAAAAACAGAAACTGGAATATGGCAGCCCACACTCGGACTTTTGCCTCATTGTCCAGTCATTGTTCTGTGTGGGAGGAAACACTCAGGCAACATGTTGCATGCAGATACAGAGCGAGATAACACAAAACAGGCCCATTGGATGACTTGCAAGATACAGTGGAAATTAATTAATCCTGATTAGTGTTGTGCTCCGAGCGCTCCCGCGGGAAGACAGCCGGTTCCAACCGACCCGGGTTTCCTCGCCAGCTGCGGTGACATGAAGCATAAACAAACACATCACCGCGTGGAGAAAATTGCAAGCATGTTTCATTGCCTGTGACAGGAAGAAGGAGTATTAATCAAATCAAAAAACTGACAAACTGCTGGAAGGCAGAGGAGTTCACCTCGAGCGTCAATCTGGTCCGTGTTTAGTCCTCGCCGTCAAAAGGGATACAAACGCTTGTTTGTGTGAATCAGGTGAATGCGGATGCTCGAAAAATTATCTAAACTGCACAAGTCTAAACATATGGAAAGCATTCAGTCACAGGAACAAAAAAATATCCTCTCTCTGACACTGACGAGGCTAAAAAAAAAAAAACACTGATCAGTTATCCACCATCACCGAGCTTTTCGCAGGAGAAAAACTTTCAAAAACATGCGACCAAACTTCCCTCTTAAAGTCAGAAATCTCTTTCAACTCTATCTGGTCGGATCTAGGAGAACCTGCGGCTCATCTGGCTCAACAGGTGATGTTCTCCCAGAGTGCACCTAAAGTCAAACGAGAGAAAAGTGGAGTGAGAGTTTGCTTGTAAAGCTGTCAAACCACAGATGACCGAGAGGAAAACTGAGAAGTGGGAGAAAGTAAGCGAGACCTCTGAGGATTAAGAAACTGGAGAGGAGGGAAAGGGGGAAATAGAGAACGAAATAAGCTGGATTCCCTGACTGAGAGCAAATATCAGCAATTTCTGAGATGCTTTTGGCCGAAAGCTCGATCAGAGGATTTAAACCCGCTCTCCAGTTTGGGTGTTGGATATAAAGCTGCAGCAGAGATGGTTGGTGAAAGAACCCGCAACCTCCAAAGGTAACCGGATCTTTCTACCATCAGAGGTGGAAAGGTATACAGATCCTTTATTTAAGTGGAAGTGCAGATACTTGTATAAAATAATAGCCTTGTAAACGGAGAAATGCTGATTCAGCACTCCTGAAACACAGACTGAGTTGTGCACACAGGAGGAAAGTTTCCCTCTAACAGGCGTGAGTTTCTGTGCAAAGCTCACAGACACCCTGGTCAGAATCAGGATAATATCTTTCTTCAATTCTTCTATTTTCATAAAACAAGATAAAAACGATCGAACACAGTCGACTTTAAACTCCCACAAACATAAGAAACTTTACATCCTTAGCACTGTTAGATGGCACATTTCAAATTTCTGCCTTTTTGCTCTTTAAGTCACCTCTCTTAACTTTGGTTCACACACATATTCCTTCTCTTGTTTCTTTACATCCTTACACATCTTTTATTTTCTCATGTCACATCTTTTTAATGTGACACAATTTGTACATTATTGTATTATTTTCCCACCTATTCAAGATAAAGTAAGTTAGACTAGAAACATGGTGCACAATGACAGAAAAAATATATATTTTTCAGTATGTTAAAGCCTGTCTGTGAGCTATTTTCATGATGTTCTGAGGCACTTTCATATCCCAGAGTAGTGTCCCTCAGTTCTGTTTAAACACTCTTTACATGCTTTACATTTGCAGCTTTCAAACTGAATTTTAAAAAGAAAACTTAAAATAATCTAAACAGCTGTACAATTACCGGCAGATATTTGTTAGTGTCATGAGGCTCATGGTATTCAGGATTAAGCTCAGGAAGCAAACTACATCAATATACAAGCGTTAGGATAAAAACATGTAACAGTATTAAAGAAAGCTCAAAACTACGGAAGAGGATTAGGGCCACCGGGGAGTTATGGGGGTTATCCAGTATGAGGAGACGGACTGTGGACAAGGTAGATGAAGGAAAAATATGGACAGAAGACAAACTGCAAATTTCCAGCAGACTTTAGTGTACGTAAATAAGGATTAAAAAAAGGATATTACTCGATTAGCTTATCTGTTTGAATAGCATTACTTTTCATGGACAAAAAGATGAGAGATTTTAGTTTGACTAGCAATCTTCGCTGGTTTCCAACTGATGGTGCTATCGACCAAATGACAGCAGCTACAACAAAAATTCTGATGAACATGAAACTGTAATTTATTCTAAAGAAATTAAGATATTTAAGTGAGATTAAAGCAGCACAGTCTGTTCAGTTTTAACGTATATTGTTTCAAACCTTTCAAACATTTAGAATAATCTTATACTGAAGTGTTTATCATTTCAAACATGAACACAATAATATCAAAAAATAAAAAGGAGAAGAAAACGAAAAAAAGATTTAGAAATAAACTTTAGTTTTAGTTTTACATGAAGTATTTTGACAGAAAATAAAACCAGCGTTGTCATATTTTAAGAAACCTGTATGCAGCCCCTCTTTTATTGTACAGAGAGTAATTTTTTCCACGCGCTTACTAAGTTTCTCATCTTTGTTGGCGACTAGGAGCAATCTCAGAAATCCACACTGAAGAAACCAAAGAAACTGTTGAGAGTAGTCACTGATATGTATGTCAGGATTTAGCACTTGGAGCATGTCCAGGTCATATAACCTGTTAAAGTTGGAGCCTGTATAATATTCAAAAAAGGAAACCCTAGATTTGAAAAACCAGATTTCATCACTGACGATACCGTTATAAAGCGGACGAGTGTGAGAGGAAACTAAAGAAAACATAAGAGAGAAAACAGGAGATGGGGGCGTTTGTGAGAACTCATCACCCTTTCTTTTTGACAATCCCTTTGGGGGGCTGATATTGAATCCATACGTTTGAACACACATTACATCGCACATTGCCGTGTGAACACACCCCTCCGCCCTCCTCAAGCTGCGACCATCAGGGTATAATCAGAAAAAAACGTACTTTCTTTGAACTCAAACCAGAACATTTTGACTCACTGTTTCGACAACGCACGCACCTCTGCGCAGCAACAAGTGGACAGAGCAGAAAGTGCAGTTATGACCCCCGACAGGCAGACAGATTGCAGATGTGTACGTGTCAAATCAATACACATTACAGAGTGAAAAATGCTTTCACTAAGATTAACTTAAATACAACAGATCTGGAAAACTCAAGCGAGATCATTAATCATCTAAAGTGTTTTCTGAATCATATTATCAACAGATGTGCTTGGCTCGGCCGGCCTGCTGCTGTCAGTGACCCAATGTTCGCCATACCTTAATGACAGCGATGTATTTAAATCAAGAACATGCACTTCTGCAGGTGCTGATGTCCACAAATATCACAAAAACACAACACCCAACCCAAAGACAAGGCCTGTTGTAGCTGCACAATGTTTGAAGTGAAAAGCCAAAACTGTCTGCGCTCAGGCCAAGACCAACCCTGGTTTACAGCTCTGTATGGTTTCTATAGCACCCAAACTCCACTCATGATATGGAAAATACAACAAGAGTAGCTCACAGCCAAGCAGAGTTATTTTTAAAGCTTAAAAAAAGTCATTTTAATGATCTGATCCCTTTACAGTCCAACGAGAGAGCCAAAGAATCAACTCTGAGCTTTCCTCAATCAATCACAAACCAGCTGGGAAACTCAAATCAATCATCATGGAGCCTGTGAGATTGGAAAACTGTGATCATTTACTCACTGTGTCCTCTAACTTTTCCTCTCTCTGCAGCTGTGTTTGTGACTGGAACTGGAGGTAAACTATGGGAAGTGCCCATCACTTCCTTTATCTCTTCCTCAAACCACAGTGAGGGCCTGCAGTGGGAGCAAGACTGTCAGTACCGCCACCTACAGGACAGGGTGAGAATATCGGCAGACATCCCCCCAAGACTGGATGGCACATGGGTTTCTACGAGGTGAGTTCTCACAGTACTGTCTGCTTTCTGTGAACCTATAAACCAAAGACCTGAAAAGTAAAGAGCTGGGAAAGTATTTTCTTGTGCATTACCACCTGAAATAAAAACCAACCAACACTGCTTCTTATAGGCCGGTCAGCAACACAGACATTGATGAAAGCTGGACCATTTTACCCACGTGAAAGTGCAAAAATTACCAGCATGGCAATTAACATCAGCAAATAGATATAACTATTACTATGTGAAAACTGTACAAGTGAGTATAAGTTTTCACACATTTTGTAGGATCATTTTAAAGTATATCTTACTATTCATTTAACAGTTATTTGTATCTATGTGTAATATTATTCACAATTACACAGTCTTCCTAAGATTAGAGTCTATTAAGATTAAGTTATTAAAATTAGTCGATTAAGTTTAAAGATTTGTGGGTCCATCCTTTGCCCATATCACCAAAAGCAGATTTTTTATCTAGCTTTTAGGATCAACCAATCACAGCTTTTGGAATGATGACTCATACCTCCTCACTCATGCTGCGTTCGAGTTACCTCAGAAGTCAGAGGTCGGAGCTGAAAATGACGTCATATGAAAGTTATTTTAGCGCTTGCCTTGTCCGAATATAAGGCAAGCGCTAAAATAACTTTCTTAGATGTAGCCATTTTGTTTCAGGCTTCCGATTTTGCTTTTTTCCAACTTGGTAACTGAAATGCTGGGAACTCGGGTGCAATTTTCAGCTCCGACTTCTGACTTCCGAGGTAACTCGAACGCAGCATAAGATAGGAGTTTCTGTCCATTGCTTGTTTAGAGTTCTCTGAGAATGTTCTGGAATCACTCCTAAGTTAAGACTCCTTTCTAGGAAGTTTTAGGTTAAAGGGATATTCTGGCGTAAAGTTAAGTTATGGTCAAACACACCGTAACACCGAATTAGACACCCCCTTGAGAGATGATTGTTGCCGACTGCTTTCTTCTCTAGTTACATCAACTTGAGTAATGACCGCAGGCTAGCAATACACAGCCAGCGAACTACGTCTCCATGTGCAAACCTCCACCCAAACGCCACCCTATAGCCACAAATAATGCTCAGAACAGCACCTAACTTCATCAACAGGACATATAGGGTCCCAGTCATAGTACTAGACATCAAACATCCATTTAGTTTTGACTAATTTCTTTAGCAAAGAGACTAAACACAACTCACCTACTCTCCTCCAGCAACCACTTGTTTGTGGGGGAGCCCTGACGAGTCGATCCCAGAGAGTCAGGTGTTAAGTTAGGTGCTCTCTAAGAGGATTCTCAGAATCTTTAGGAATACGGGCCTGGGTTATTTAGAACTGATGCAGAAATGTATTCCGGTCCACATCTGCAAAAAACATCTTGGGGCATCTGAATCATTTGGAGAAGTCGATCCTTTTTGACCAGGACTGTATGGACATGGAAATTGTATTCTGAAGCAAAAATCATCTAGAGGAGTGGTCTTACCTCACTTTACCATGTAAACCTGAAGAGGTCCATTTGCAGTGGGTAGGATCGGCACTTATCTCAGCAACAGGTCAATGTTACTCAACGTCTTCATTCGGCATAGGAACATCATAGGACTCGACAATATCTACCAGTTCAATAGATTTAGATCTGGGAATTTTGACAAGCTGGTCTCGTACCCTTGCACACTGACGTCAGAGTTTCCTTGCTGGGCAGTGAAACCCTCTGTGGTCCTGCGTTGAGCCACAATGTTATAAACATTTATATTTTGTGGGTCGTACCAAAATTTTACCAATGCACTCATCTACACAAATGTCAATGAGGCATTTGATCTCCTCCACCCATGACTCATGTTGTTGGAAGGTTAACTGGCTAAAGTGAAACAACTGGGCATGGCGCAGTATTTGCTAACCTGCACAGTGAGAAAAGGAGGATGTGAGGTAAGGGCTGAGATGGTGTCTGAGATGGCTTAATTTAGGTGTGAAATCAACCTTATTTATGACCAGAATGCCTCACTACAGTTCTGTGCATTCAGTCACTGCATCAGCTCTATCTGAGGTAACGTGTTGTTGTTGGACAAACCTGAATAAAGCCGGATAGATACATCTAAAGAGCAAATAAACATCAGCTTGTAGATTGGTTTGGTTGTTGCCAGACATCTGTTCATACTGGTGCAATTATTAAGCCTAAACATGAAAAGGATTTGGATTCAGTTACGTAAATAACAATATTATAGCTCTAAAAGAGAAATGTCCAGTGATCTTAAGTGTTTGCTATGATTTGACTTAGACTCACCAACAAGAACAAAGACAACAAACAATCCTCTGATAGCCACTTCTTTAAATCTGTACAAACCTGTTAACCCACATCATTTTAACTTCTGCATTACTCTGTTGTGTTCAGATGTGAAGTTCGGCCGGGTCCAGAGTTCCTGACCCGCTCTTACACCTTCCACCCCAGCCGCCACTTCCACGCCCTGCAGCACTACTACACAGACAGTGGCTGCGAGGATCCGGCGTACTCTCTGATGATCAAGGGGAAGCTTCGCCTACGTCAGGCCTCCTGGATCACACTCGGGGCCACAGAAGCTGAGCACCACCTAAGCAAGGTGGGAATCGTTGTCCACAGTCTCGCAGCAAAGCAGAGGCTGACCTCCAGGCTGCCTCCGACCTGCGTGGGTACGACTCTGAGTCGAGTGGTTCCAGGGAAGCTGTATGAGCTGTACAACACACGAGCAGGGAGGGCATGTCTGGTAGCGCTGGGTTTCTCTATGCTGGAGATGGAGCTGATTCGGGTGGAGATGCAGCACCACAACCATGGAGGGAAGGTCCAGGAGATGTTCTTAGGGGACATTCACACGGACTGGACTCAGAGGACTCAGTACAGACCGACAGGATATCAACATCCACTGCAGAATGCCATGGTGAGACCTTACTGTATGTTTTTTAGGTTTTTATAAGACCAAGTGTGTTTTAATAAACCAACACGGGTATTTTTTTTTTTTGCCTTGCCTTACCCGGGATTTCCACCACATCCAAAACGGCACTAATCTGGAACGGCAGTGATTTTCTCCGTACACCAATAGCAGAGCCGTTTGTGAGGCGAATTTCGTGGCGGATCACGGACAGCAGGAATCATGAAACCCGCGGATTCACGTGCAATCGCGTGATAACAAGTTGTCTTTAGCCACATAGGCTAACCATAACTTGAATGGTTACGATCAGCTATGATCCATGGATACGGCCTTTTCGTAGCCGTTCCAGATGAGGTGGAAATTGGGGATGGGGATTTTACCTGTTGTTTCAAAGAGTTAGTAAAATATTAATCCTCCAATCAAAGTCTTTCTTTTGTCTAAACTATGGCTACTGATCAATCGACTGAACTGCTGGTAATTGACAATGTAATCTTCAAAGATATTTGTCGTGTTTTTATATGGGATCAAAATCATTCAAATCAGAGGTCCCATCAGTTTTCCGTGTAAACGTAGCTCCTGACTCAGCTTTACTTTTTCTTTACAGCATCACATCCATCCCTGCCCCGTGTGCGCCCTGGTGTACCGCTCCTCAGAGCAACGCCCTCCAGTGTTGCCCCGCGGCCCCGCAGCTCCTCTGACTCTGAAAGGCCGTTGGGTCAGCCAGCACTGCGAAACCCGTCCCAACATCCTCTTCCTCACCAGAGACTTCACCTTCGACTCTGACCAGCACGCCTGGGAGGGGATCTACCGGCACTACTCGGATCCTGTCTGCTCTCGGCCCACGTTCACTCTCAGGGCCTCGGGCCACTATGCTCAGGGAAACCCCTCTGTGAAGATCTCAGGGGCCACTGAGTTTGTCTTCAAGGTCACACAGGTGAAGGTCACAGCTGAGGAGGAGTCCACTGCCAAGCTGTTGAATGGGACAAGGCCAGGAAAGTGTGGTCAGGCGGGAGGCTGGGAGGTCGGGGTGGAGCAGGACGTGACCCCCACAGCTGGGTGCAACGTGCTGGGAATCAAACTACCGCATAAAGAGTACGAGCTCTTCAAGACTGAGCTGGACCACAGGAAACACCCGCTGCTGTTCATCGGAGAGAGGCTGACAGATGGGTCCAGTCCAGACCGACCGCAAAGGAGGCCAACGAGTTTTCAGGCTGCCATGATGCTTTGCAGTGGTGGGGAGACACATCCCTCAAATCGCTATGGATGGAACAGCAAGCAGGTTCAGTCAGCAGCCGGAGGGACCGGCAGACCGGGACAGTTTTTGTTACCGCTGCTTGGATGTGTTCTGTTCAGCTGGTTGTGTTGTTTTTAGAGACAAAGCACACAAATCAATCTGTTCCACATCTGAGGTCACTGATGGACGGGGTTTTCTGGCAGCTGTCGTTCACACTTCTTCCACATGATGTTGACCACATGTGTGAGGGTCAAAAAAAAATCACGAGACAGTCGGGAGAGCTGGGTCATTTTTGGAAATCTGGCTTTCAGATGCTGCCTGTAGCTACACTTTAATGACTCTTAACTTCAACTGCATTTCTACCTAAAACTAATCTGTATATAAACCAACAATTTATACCAGTGTCAACACTTCAGCATGTAAAAATATACTATTTTAAAGCCTGTTTCTTTTGTATAGTGATCAGATTTTCTCATTTACCAGATTGATTTCTTTGGCATACTTCTGGACTCTGTTGTTGAAGGCTGTGGACATTCCAGCGTGCGTCACTTAGGAGCTAATTTTTAACCATAGACTGTATATAGAATGGACGCCATCTGCCTGAACAGCACCCTCTGGTGACAGGCTGCAGTATAGGTCATCATTTCCGCCTCCTCCAGCAATCCCTATGGAGCTGTGGACAAACTTTAGAAATGAGTTACACAGAATAGAAATGTTTCTCCCCCCGGTCAGGTTCACTTTGACTGACACTTGATACAGCCTATGGGCGTACGAAGATTGCGTAGCTCACCCGGGGGAGACGCTGTTTGAGCAGAACGCCATCACAGTGACTCTCCCGCCAAATGCGTACAATGCTACTGCGCAAGTGGTGGTTCCAGGAGGAAAATCCAGTGAAGAAAATCCCCGAAATACTAAGAGCAATTCAGCTTCAAATTCGTATAATGATGGAAGGCGGAGTCAAGTCGTCCATAGTATATACAGTCTATGTTTTTAACCCCAATGCAGTATAACTGATGCACTTTGTACAAAACTTTGTCTCCTAACAAACTGGAAAGAAAGATAACAAGTACAAATCTTTGTATTAAATCTTTCATAGCTGCCGTCTTCATCGATATGATGCCACTCTCTGTCAAAGCTTGTGTATGATTAAGATTTTCTATCAACAGTCAAGAACAAATCAAATGAGTATTTATTTTAACCATTTATAACTTACATTTAAATAAGAGAAAGTTTGGTTCTAATGTTTTAGTTATTGTTCGCCATTTAAGCCGTGAATCTTTTCTAATGTTTATTAAAAATGGCTTTTCATAAAATCTTGTGTTTCATTCGTCATTGTTGCCCAAAGACTGTATAAGACATTGACACAGTTTTTAAGCGCCGTGATGTTCTCGCCATATTGGACCTGCAGACTTAACCGGGATCTCTTGGGTCTGCGGACACCTGGAACGCTCTAGTGTTTGTACTTCTGCGGCGGCTTCACTTTTGAAAACGCCCAGTATCACAGTCTGTATGAATCATGCACGTAGACGAAGTGATGTCACCTTTTGGTTAATAAAGCCACATTATAAGGCAGTAATTATATTGGTAATGCTAACTCAGACTGATTTCCATCCAAACTAGAGATCAGCGAGGAGGTATGTCGAGGCCATGGCCAAGCCAGCTGGAAAACAGCTACGACACGCTGTCAGTGAAATCAGCCGGGCCTCAGTTGGCTTCTTATGCAAAACTGTTAATCTTTATAGAGCCACAATGGACATACAGTATGAATAAGTCATGCACCATATAGTTGATACAACACAACAAATAAAGCGTAAGCTGGTACATGTTTTATTCTGTTGTAAAAGTGGGAATTTTTCCTCTGCCTCAAGTGGCCACTTGAGGAACTGCATGCTTTCTGCAAATCCATATTGGCTTCATTGTTGACTTTGTATGTTGCTGCTTGCTGACATATAAAGCTATGTTATTAGGCACATTCTCACAGACTCCAGGAGACAGCGGTGTCATTTTAGTTGGCTGAAACCAGCTGCAAGAATATATACGACCTTTATAGACTACAGGGAAAAATAACTATGTACAGCAATGGTCTGCAAAGTACATCTCAACTTTCTGTCATCCTTTGCAACAAAATTTACAACCGTATGTTTCGTAACTCCACCACACAAGGACCAAAAAGCGCAATATTATAACAGAGCTGATCGCTTTTAATGATTATCTACTTCTTTCACGATACGTTTGACATAAAAATGATTGATGACATTGATTTTTGAAGGGATTTCAAGATGTACTTTGACTTTATGGTGAAGAAAAAATAAGTAAAATCTGTGTTTTATTATAAGGTTTACACAGAATGATTGTATCTTATGCATCTGATACTAGAACTACTTCACCAAAGATGACGCCTGTTTACTTTTGCTGTTAAATGTCATTGTAATCCCCCCTCCTCCTTATAGTTACTGATATATTCTAATATGAACACATGTCAACCTCCTGATAGCACTAATGGAAAAATCAGAGAATCACTAAAGTCAGAGGGTTCTGTCTTTCGGGAACCATAAACGTCCTCACAAAGTATCAGGACAATATGTTTAATAAATGTTTGGATATTTCGGTCTGGACCAAAGTGGTCGACCAACCTACCAGCTGACGAGAAAAGAAATTCAAAGTTTACATGTGGTGTGTCCCAAAGCTACCATTTTATTTTAAGAACCACACAGAAATTGGGGATTGTAGCATCAGCTGGATTTTATCCTCTCTCTGGAGCTCACACTGTGGTCTGATTCAAAGCCCAGATAGCGGGGGAGCGTACAGCGTATGATAAATAACTGTCATATGGCTCGCACATTACACAAGCACACGTACACACCAGTGCAGGTCCAACCGCTGAAAACACACAGAGGGATATCAGATTGGACGCAGAAAAGCACCGCTGTCAGCCAACAAAATAGATTTTGCAGTTGCTTCGACAATAAATGAGCCGAGAGCGGAGCAGCAGTTAAGAGACATCAGAGGGAAATATTTATATCCTCCGATTTTCAGTGTTATGACTGAAGTAAGTGAAGCATTTTGCTCCACAGAGAGAATTCCTCCATTTGTAAAATCTTGACACCTGTTTCTACAAAACGTCAAAAGGCAGTTTGATACAATTTAGCACAGATATTAACCAGACTACCCATGATGTGCACCACAAGTTTTACTGACAACACAATTTGTATGCAAATAATCTGAGAGGGACAGAACAAAAATACAATTCTGGTGTTTGTTTTTGTCATAAAAGACAATTCCAGTAGTGCTGCTCTCCAAGACAGATTTCCCCAGGGGGACAATAAATTGTATCATATTATATCTTGTTGTATCGGATCGTGTTGTATCACATTGTATCATGTTGTATCATATCATATCGTATCAAATTGTATTATATCGTCTTGTATCATATCATATCGTGTTGTATTGTAACATATTTTGCCGTATCATGTTGTAACGTATTATATCGTGTTGTATTGTATCATATAATGTCGTATCGTGTTGTATCGTATTGTGTTGTATCATATCAAGTCGTATCGTATTGTATCATATTGTGTTCTATTGTGTTCTATCATGTCGTATCATGCTGTATCATTTCATATCATTTCATATCATGTCGTATTGCATTGTTTTATATCATATACAAAAGATTTTCGTGTTACTATAACATTTAAAGTAAAAGACAAACTTTTTAAAAACTATCCTACACGCCGGTGTGAACTAATTTATAATATATTCAGAGAAGCATTTTGTCAGTTTAGGGGTTTTGTTCTGAGAGGAAGCGACTGCTTTGCATTACAAAGCATGCTGGGTACATATCAAGGCAGTCTAGAGTCTCACTTTTGAACAACTTTTCTTCCTCACTTGGTCATAATCATTCATTTAAAGACGATTTAACATACTATTTAGAGGGAAAACAAACTTGTGGTGTGCTAGTTAGTTTGAAAAGCCGAGTTTGGGTTAATAGTGGGCGGAGCTTAGTGAAACACAATGGAGTAAGAAAGTTTCAGCCTTCTTCCGTATTGGTCACCCCAAAAGACAGAGTTTCTTTTACATTTTAGGGCAATTTATACCCCAGACTGAACAGTATTTGATGTGATTGGAGTTTACAATTCCAATGTCATTAAGCAGACGCTTTTATCCAAAACAACATACATACGAATTTTACACCAGCGGGGATGTAGTTGTTGGACAACCGCTCTACCTCCTAAGCTACTGCCACTTTGTTAACTGTTATTCAACTCTGATCAAATCCCACCTTTACTGTATAAAATAACTATAATTAAAATGTGATAACACAATCTATAAATGAAAAATTAGATGATACATTACATTTGACAGAAGCTAATGTACTATGTTAGCCAAGGTAGCTTATTTTTAGCCAATATCGGAAATAAAAGAATATGCCATAAGCTCACTAAATTTAAAAACAAAAGTTTAAGTCTGAGGTTAGCTTTCACGAGTTCTTGAGACGTTTGGGGCACAGGTCTGGCGCCTTCTCTCAATAATATAAGCGAGCAAATCCATTTTTTAACCATCGTACAACGACCAATTTCTGCGACAGGCTGTCATGCACTGTTAAACAAGAAATAAAATAATAGTTTCTGAGAAAGGGGAAAATAATGACGATGAAAAGGTCTTAGCTCTCTCTTGCTTTTAACTAGCGGGGACACAAAAAAGAAAGACGCAGAGAGAGAGAGAGAGAGAGAGAGAGTGGCGGTCCTTTCCAGAGGCTGCATATTGTTCCTATTAACTCCTGCGAGAATGGTGATGGCAGCTGTTAGACCTATGAGGTCATCCTTTAGACTTGGACCCAGAATATAGGTCTGTAACCCCCCCAAGCCATGCAAAGGGAACATGGCTCGATACAAAGAAGATCCAAGAATGGATGATTGACATTAACTTGAACAAAGATGTGCAGAATCTGTCGTTGTATTGATTTTGAACCGGGATAAACTTTGGTCTCTACCACAGAATCCGGCAGCAACCACATGGGTTCACAGTGTTTGTTGTGTGCTGGCTGGGTGGGGATGTTGACTGAGTTCAGGGCTCGGGGCTACACAGTTTTTCATTGTCAATTTGTGGTTTCTGAGACTGTAAGGCAGAGGGGAGCGCAGGGACATCCTGTTAGTAATCAGGCTTATTGAACGTATCCACTCCACAACAAAAAAAAGGGTAAAACCAAAACCTCATTTGTTTAGGAAAAAATAATCATAGGGCATGATGGGACTCTGGATGGGTTTGTTTACTCCAGGCTTTGAGTCTGAAATTTTTTGAACCAGCAGTTAAATTTAAAAAAAAGGTTTTTGCAGACATAGAAGCTTATCAAACATCACTTCTGTTGGAGGCCTCTGAATAGGCCGTCATGTTTATGTGTTTAATCTTGGCAATTTTCAGGGTATCCATAAAGTCAAATCTATCGATCATTCCAAGTATGAAAGCAAAATACTCATAATATAGGGAAAAAAAGCTTTATACAAATGTTGTAGAATAAAGCTTATTATAGTTATTGTAACTGATACCTAAGATTAATTTTACTGATACATCGGTGTGTTAATAGCCTCCTATTGAATTCACCCTGGGGGAAAGATAAAGTTTTTAACTTAACTTAACTTCTTATCTTATCTTATCTTATCTTAATTTATCTTAATTTAACTTTACTGATACATCGGTGTGAAAGTAGCCTCCTATCAAATTCACCTTCAGCGATAAACAAAGTTCTTCTTATCATATCTTATCTTAACTTAAGTTCTTATCTTATCTTGTCTTAACTTAATTTAACTTAACTTAACTTCTTATCTTAGCTTAGCTAATCTTATCTTTACTTATCTTATTTTATCTTATCTTAACCTTTTATCTTATCTTATCTTATCTTAACTTAATTTCACTTCTTCTGTCTTGTTTTGTTTTATTTTATCATGGTGGGGAGTAAATATTGTTATTGAATTCAAAACCTGATTAATCGCCCAGCTCTACAATATACTGGACATTCCCCTCAAAGGTAACATCGGGTTAAATGTAAATGAGACTTCCACAAGAATATTAATGTGAATTTTGTCCTCATCCAGCTCCCCTTCCTTTTGAGAGCTTTCCAGCTGACACACCTTCAAAAACAACTGTGGACAAAAAGTCACAGCTGTTGACCCTGTTACTATCATCACAGCTCTTTACGGTTTGATTACTTTGTAGTGATCTGCAGCTAAGATTAACCAAAACGCTGAAAAGCGAGGTTATAAGTTATCCTGATAAAACAGTCCCTGAAAGACTAAGTATTTCAAACCCTCAGACCACA